TATATGTATTATTGTGTAAACGATCAGATTCAGTCGCATATCTCGAAATTATAAAATGGAAGGATCTAAACTAGTAAAGACTAGTGACGAATAATTGCTTTCTAATAGATTTAATATAACTTTAATACTCTTATGTCAAAAGTAATAAAATAGGTATCCATCATTATAGAACCATAATTGCGGTTAGTGGTTATTAAGTCTGTTTAATGTTAACACTAGAACAAATAAAATAAACGATAGTTACAGAGCTTACATTTCACTAAAACTTTAAAAATTAAATGAGATATTAATCCAATGCATCTAGTAAATTCGGATGTTATTTTGATGTGTTTTTTAACTGGGTTTGAAAATCGGCTGAAAAAGTGGGAAAAACAGAGCGAGTTTAACTAACCATATTTTAATGATAAACCTAACAATTACGCCATAGTTTTTTTTTTAAATTATTTATTTTATTTTATTTTACGATATTGCAATCCGTCATTATATTTGTCAAAAATATTTTTGAATTATTCAACATAATGTTCATCTATATTTTGTTCAGATCGACTTCTCTGATTTGTAATAGTTTATACTTTATAATATGAATAATTTATAATTACAAATAAATGATAATACTTGAATGATTTGTACTATTAATCTGTTTGTTTAACTTGAAACCTAAAAAAAGAATATTTGCAAAAAACAACTTGCAAATAAATACACTTACGCGTTTGTTACCTCACGTCAATAGAAGATTAAAATTATCTTCCTGGCATTTATTTTAATAAATTTATATATAAATATTGTGATTTGCGGTGTAATATGTGCTGAATAATAACTTTAATTTCAGTAACAAGCCTCCATTACAAAAGCATTCTGAATTGTTAATCTAAGCGTGTTTTTGGAGCCATAGTCCGAGGGACATGTTTCATTAACCGATCGTACCACGTGGCTCTCGAAACACTACCTCCACCGAGTTTAATATTACAAGGGGTTGAAGAGAATACTTCAGGTTGGTGAAAACAACCACGGCCTTGGCGGCGACATTGACCTTTATTGATGTAGTTTTCTTGTACGTTATACAATTCTACTCGTTTATCGTGGTCCCGTTTCAAATTGAATTCTGGAAACATAAAAAAAAATCCAATCGATCCATGTGGGCCTTGACCGTTCAGCAATTCCATATTGTTTCATTATAACATTAGATAAACTAAAATAAACGAGAAACGCCTTAAGTGTAGGCCACTCATTATGACCAAAGAGAAGTTCTCGGTCAAGTATATTGTTATGAAACTAGTAAAATATTTAGTGGTACAATAACAATTTTTGTAGGCAGTAAATATTTATAAATATTTGTCAAATCAAAACAATTCCAAGTTATCCTACAAGTTTTAGCTATTTCCTAAAATTATTGAAAATTGTGTTGTACAGAGATGTCGTCTGCAGAGAACCAGGAAACATACAAATATATCCATGGCCTTCAAATCGATTACCTCCTAATGTATAATATTTTTACATACAACATAATAATTATTTAAAACATAAATTGTAATGAACTTTCTTAAAATACATTTGAAAGTGTTCTTATTGGAACGAATGGACACGATGCGAAAGGGCGTTATACATCCAAGTTTTTTAGCGTAAAATAATTATTGTTCAGATTGCGGTTTTTTCTATAAGCCCATCATGATACGAATAAAACGCAATTTTAGTAACACTATTTTGGTAAAAAAAAAGTAATGAAATACGGATGCTGTAATAGTCTGATAACAAAATTTACCAGTGACAAAGAATCCTAATTGCTGTACAAATATTCATAACTGTTTTAGCTAAATTAATATATAATTATAAATTATTATATAGGTAACTAAAAATGCAAGTTAATGTTTTATTATTATTATAACATTTAAGACGTAGACGGTAGTATAAGTAATTATATAGTTCTACAATATAATACATAAGGATATATTACTAGGCGTAAAAGAAAAAGTTTTCACATTATCCATTATCAAACCAGTACTGTAGGAATCCTTCTTCAAATCTCTACTTACATCAACCCTATTTTACATTAAATAAATGTATATTTTTGATAGAACCCAATATAATTTTTTACTTATTTTTAATAGCTTACTTATTATTGATGTAGGTGTTCGATAATGAACGACATACTATATGATCCAAAAAAATAATCCTCATCAACAGGACTAAAATACTGAAGAGTTTTTTCGAAAAACTTGAATTGTTTACATACATTTCATTAAAATTAAAGTCGGTAAATTTTATAATAGTCAACTATAAAAAAAAATTATGTTATTTTTTTTTGAATAAAATGTTATCTTTTGTGTATAGTTGTCAAATATATACAAATTTAAGGTTACTAAGGAAGTACAAAAAACATGTTATTTTTAACAAACAGGTGTAAAATGGTATTAATTCTGATTTTTTTGGTAGTCTAAAGTGAGAGATCTTTACACTGATTATTTTTTTAGCAGCTGTCACTTTATCTTTAGGCTGAGGCAATGCAATTATTTCCAAAGATTTTATGGCATTGGTACATCTGCACCCGTTATTCTGATTACTGGTGGTGCTTCTAAGTAAAAGAAGGCTTCACTTAAAAGTAAATCAATTTTGTGATTATAGTGAAGAAGTAGTAAGCTTACTAACTCTTATCCTTATTAAGTATTTTTGTACAAATTATACTTTTTAAACTAAAATATTTTTAGAAATTGACCCGACAATTATCAATTAAAGTAGGAATTTTAAGTACAGACAAAAAACAACACACATGATTGTAGAAGCCAATATCTTTTAAACTCCATGTCAAACTAAAAATACATTGATTAATTAATTGAACTATTCAATTTTAACCCCGGACTAAATCAGGCACCAAAACATTGATAGTGATGTGCATACAACTATGCTACATTTGGGTCTCTAAATACAATTAGTACATTCACCTGTTTAAAAAAAATGTTATTCAATAGTAAAACGTCTTTGCTACCGAATTAATGACTTAACCATTTGCTTACATAGAAAAATTGAACTTTTGGCCGAGATCAGGGTGCGCTGTGATTGGCCAGCGCGTAGCGGCGTGTACATAGATGGTAAGAAAGAAGTCGCTTCTTATTTTGAACAGAGTATAGAGAACTTTTTTCTATTATGGACCACTTAATACCTCACTGAATTTAATTAGTAATTGGACCTTTTTTTTATAGTGTTTTCATATAATGTGATCTCAATTTTCCACTCATTTTCATGTACCTACCTCCCTTCCAAACTAATTGTATTAAACATTTTGACTGGTCAATACCCAGTTTTGAATAACTATTTTTAAAGTTGTTGAAGTAAAAAAATATCACTCTGTTATATATATATATATATATATATATTGTTTATTAGACCTATACCTATTCAAAAAAAAAATTTGTTTTTTTGCCTCCCACACCCGACGATAAAACGTTTCGATGAAAAAAAATATATAGTATAATGTAAGCCAGCTCAGTCCAAACCAACCAAATTCTAAATTTCGTACAGTATAAACCAGTACATAAGGAGTCATCAAAGATGGTTCATATCAATTATTAAATCTGGATGTGATTTTATCACAATTAAATGCTTTGATGCGATTCTGGAAATAGTAAAAATCCAGACCAGTAAGAAATTACCAAAGTGGTTCCAATATCTCCAGATGTTTTCTTGAATGTGATTTTACTACTACCTCTAAATCACAGGTCTAAAAGAACAGAATAATATACCTCAAATAGTTCTACATAATTTAACATATGACAGAAGTTTGTATAAATATGTACGTCTTTAATCTTGTAGCTCATTTACAAACTAACATAATAATAGGTTAGTATGTATAATGGAGTTAGATCACCATTCGACACCATCTGGTTAGTCGTTACCTTCCATGACAATAGATTCTTTCACAACTCTGGAAGTTATAAGACAACTGTCTATTATAATGTAACTAGAAAGTAAAATAAAAGTACTAAGTAAATGCAGTTACTAAAAAATTACATTAAAAAAAAAGGTTCGATGTGAATCTGTAGATACTGGAACCTACTTTGGTAATTTCTTACTGTGCTAGTTTAGATTGTACTTGGTTATTTAAAACTTAAATGGTAAATTGTTCAGTCTGTTATTATGATTATTTTTTTCTATATTTGAACTTATTATTTTTTCTGTACTTTAACTTCCATAATAAGCAATTTAAGAGAGGAGAATAATTATCCTATAATACAGGTTGTGTTGGAAATGATATTTGAAAAATGTTCACAACTTCATTACTTACTTCAAAAATTTAGTTATAAAAAACCTTTTTTTTATACGCTTTTAAACGTTTTATAATCGACGATTGTGTTAAAAATAAAATATCATGAAGAATTGAATGCCTTGTGAAACTACATTCCTTCAAATGTTTGTAGTATTGAGACTTTTTAAGTTATAATGAAAAATAATTTTATTAAATAATAGTATTTAGGAGATTTTTTTTTTTTTTTTCTTTAGAATTGTAATTGCTTAGATATTAATTTTATTAGGTATTATGAAAACGATTTCAAAAATTTTATATTTTCATTACATCTTATTTTATAGATTTGAGGATTAATAATAAATTTTAAGTTGCGAAATCCAGTTTCTTATCGTGGACAAAAAAAACGATTAACCTATAGGAGACGTCTTATTTCAATTGGCTGCTTGTCTCTGGAATTGTTAATAAAATAAAATAACATCAATCAAATTAGGTAGTTAATAGACACAAGATCTGATTGAGAATTTACAATACTTGTGTTTATTTAATTAACAACATACAATAACAGGTTCACTAACATAACTTTATTTTGTGATTTTAAAGAAAAAAAATTAGTTATAGGTATTTACTTCATTACAAAATATCTTTATAATATGTATCATTTCTTTAAATATAAAATATAAAATGAAAAAATACTTTAGGAAAATCTATAAGAACAATAAATTAATTATAATAGTAAACAAAATTGTATATATAACTCAATATAAAATATAAATACATTTTTTTTTTTTTTAACTGCAGTCTTTGTTTCTTACAAAAATATATATATAAAACGATAAATAAATATGAATATTAGTATACTAGTTAAGTTCTTGATAATATATTATAGACATAATATTCATTGAATCAATGATAAAATTAGAACGATCATTCCAGAAAACTGAATCAAAGAGAATTCTGTAATAGATAGAACTTTAATTAAAAACAACAATTTATTAACAGCAAAAAATTTAAATAAAAAAAATAAAAAACACTAATCACAATATTAAGGAACACATGTCATGTAATTAGAAATTTTTATTACGTACCTATTTCATCGGAGGGTAAATTGCAGCAAATGAAAATCGCTTCTTAGCTTTTTCACGCCTATACTGACGCCCCTCTATAAAACCTGCATCCCAATCAACTTTAACTTGTTTACCATCCAACATTGCTTTGGTCATTGTCTTCATACACGTTTCAGCACCCAACCGGGTTTCATACCTAAATGATAATAAATAATAATTTTATTATACTACCGATACATGAAAATATAATACTAGATAATGCCATTCAATCAATTCAAGGGTCTAAAGACAATATTAGGGAGTAAACAACATTAGCACAATTTTTTTTTGGGGAGGGGCAAAGCAACGTTAAGTAAAATTGCTTTGTAAGTTGTAACTAAATTGGTTAAACAACTAATAACTCTAAAGTATGATAAGATTTTAGTACAGCTGTCATACATTGTATATAATTACAATAATATTAAAAATATAATAGAAGATGCGACTAAAATCAAATATATAAAGAAAAAATAATCTATCTAAGCGCCAAAATTATTAAAAAAATTAATTGAAAATACCCTAAGCACTTAAATAATTATTAAAAGCTAATCAAAATTGTTTTATCACATAAGTAACGTACAAATAAAAAAAAAGTATATTGTGAAAAGATCTCAATTTTTAGTAAAAAGAAGGTAATCAGTTGAAAACAAAAAAAAAATGAATAAGTTCACAAAAAAGGTTTATTTGCTCTCTTGAAAACAATGAAAAATGTTGCATAGACCCTTTTGCTGTGTAACCATTGATATGTTAAGCAACGTGTGGTGAAATGAAATAAAGCAATAAACTTGACACTGAAACAGTAGTATCAGATTTGATTCCCACCACGAGACAGACAATTATCTTAGCTTTGATGCGTAGGTAGCTGTGAAAATATTGTTTTTGTTAATTAATTTCTTTTTTGTCTGCACCCACAATATCATTTAAACTGCTGAACGGATTTCTTCATGTAGCAAGTCTAAAGATCAGAAATCTTACTTGAAAAGTACTTTATTGGGCAAAATATTTAGTTAACCCATTTCTCTTTATAATGTAGAAAAACATCTAAACAATTTATGTATTTTTCAAATTAAAATTTCGGCGCCCTATATCTTTTTTAAATATAGTCAATTATTTGTATCAAATATTCTTTAGCTTAAAAACCCTTTAGGTTTTCTTATCTTTTAAATGCAAAGTCGAAATAATTCCTCATTCTGGTTATGAAAGAGTAGCTGGATTTTTGAATATTCCTACATTAAGGAATCGTAAAATATAAGTAAATTATCTTTTCCATTTTAAATTATTAAATAATCAAATTGATTGTCATTCAATACTAGAAGAACTAAATTTTAAAGTCAAATCAAACAGTACAAGAAATAATGTTTTATTTGTTTTGAAAAATATAAATACTAACTATTATACTTTAGCCTCCCCTGTAAATACTATGTCTATTGCAAATTCAGTTAAATTACATTGTTTTTTTGATGAGTGATATTAAGTCAGCTTTTAGTGTAAATTGTAAAAATGTTTTTGCTAGTTTCTAAATTTTTCTTATGCTATATCTTCACTTGTATAAAGAAGTTGTAATACTATCGACTGTTGTAATTTATAGTAATTATTATGCAAATGAAATTGATTCCTTAAAAAAATATATATATATATATACATACTCTATAAAACAAAAACCGCCTGGACCTGAAGTTTCATTGTCTATTCCCATAATAATTTTTTTTATCTTTCCTGCACTAGAAAACAGTTTGTGAATATCACTTTCAGAACTTAATAAATTTAAACATCCAACATAAACTGTAGTGGATTCTTCCAGTTTCTTTTTATAATCTGTACTGCTTCCCTAAAAATAAAAATAAATTAAAATCCATAAAACATTTTTTATTTTTACAGACAAAGAGTACTATTCTTTAAATAAAAAAAAATAAGTAATTTATCATCATCATCAAGCTTAACGGGCCTTTAAGGCCCAACGTTGCCATCAAGAGATGTTGGTTTCTAGACGGATTCGCTGTCCAGGACGGATTGTCAGTCCGTCACTGGAGAGGGGGATGGTGGTTCCTTTATTACCGGACAATTGCTTTCCCGGGAAACGGATCGCCTGTGACCGAGTGTCGAATCGGTGACAGTGAGCGCTAACACACTGCCGCCTTACCCACTCGGCCACTTTTCCTCCTCTAGGTAGTTTTTAAAATTTTTATAATTTCCTAATAATCTATAAAAAAAAAATATCAAATTAACACCAATGCTTGTTTCTTGTAAGTCAAAATGTTGTTATTTATACTATTATTTTGTTGTTATTTATACTATTATACCATTTATATCCAAACAATATTTTACAATTTTTTTTTTTTTAAATAACATAACATGTTACTGAAATATATTGACTACTGAGACGGATCTTTTTTTTTTAGATTAATATCACATTTTTGTGTGTAAGCAAGACCACTTCTTTTTTTGAAAAATGCAATTTTTGGGTAAACTGAGTTATGATTTCAGCCTAACACCCTAGTCCATAATCCATAATAACCATAGGAAATTATTAATTTTTTATTTTCTACAAATAACAACTTGACTACATGTTATAAAATCAATAACAATCACTGACATTTGTTGTGATAATTAATTCAAACATAGAAAATATTAATTATAATATGTTAAAAAAGACATTTTTAATATTTTATAATTCAATTGTTTCAGAAAAATATTTTAATAAATTTAAGTATACGTGTTAAATAGGTAGGTAAGTTCAGTTTTTATACACTACAATAACTGAAGTATTAACTATCCTAAAATCAATATATTACAGTTTTAATTTACCTTAAACTGGCGATCCTTGTAAGTTGAAATAGAGTTAGATTCATTGTTATTTATTTTACCTTGATGCCCATTCATAGGATGACGCATTGCTGGTGGTATATATGCTTTAGATGAAGTCATATTATGCAGAATTTTTGACATAGTGTCATGGGGCTTGAACACCTACAATTAAAAATCAAAACATTTTACACTATAACCCACCTTACACTTCAGCTTTTTCAGGTTGTTTAAAAAACATTAAAATTATTATACTTTGTTAAAACAATACATTCCCACATTTTGCCATACTCATATATACAACTTCAAATAAATCCTTAACTGACAAAAATAATATAACACAGTAATTGCCCAGTGGTCAGTTTTAACTTTTAATGAAAATAAAATAAAACAGTAAAATTCTTATTCATTTCTGCTCCATAATAAATAATATGTTTGTGAAATTTGAATATATAATATTAAAAAAAAAAGTTTATATAAATATCAATATATACTTAAATATTTTATAAAGCCTTCTCCTAGAAAATATCCCCTTGGTTTAAAGACTTTTTGGGAGGCTAATCCCTAAAAGGGCTTTTTTTGTGCGATGAGTTAAGTATATTAACTAGGTTATAAATAGATAATAATAAAGTGTGATAACTAAAATTACCTTTGCATTATTATCTTCATATTTTAAGCTATTGTTATTTAGTGGAAATACACTACTGTAGCCATCTCTCATATGAGGAGGTTTATAAACTTCGACGTTGGTCGGCATGATGTAGTTAATTATTCAGTAGTATGATAGCTGGAATACAAACAATTTAAGCAAATACTGCAAAACCAATTAATACATATTTTATAACATTAGCAACAGCTAAAAATACAAAAAAAACAAATTTATTGATAAAAAGTAATTTTTATTTCAAGAACAGCCTAGCAGAAAACTAAAAATAAAGTGCAAATATTATGTAAACGACTTTTCTATTAAGAACTTTAAACTTTGATTTTTTCAATTAAATAAATTAAGCTCGCTTGTGTTCAATTTGTTTTTTTCGATAACTTTTTGTTAATAGCTATTGTTATTTCCAATTGTTTTAAACAAGACAATAGGTATTACTAAAAAGAATACAAAAATAATGACTCCATCTAAACCAAGAAAAGGTTCATACTATTTACAAGATTAATAAGATAATTTAACTATTTAAGTTTGACTAAATAATTGTTTATTATACATTAAATAATATTGCGCTTACTTTTAACTATGAAATGCGTTCACCGAAACAAGTAAAAAAATGACGATCACGATTTGAGAAGTATCCGTATGGATTAACCGTTAACGACTAACTTTTTTCTTTGTTCTCGCTTAGAAATTCAAGCTCTCGACATTCGACAACATGGAAAACCTACCTAATACAACGTAAATATTTTTGGGACATAACCTCAATTTTTCCCCGCCAACGATTATCAGCAAATAGGCAAACAGGTAAGCTTTAAGGGAACGGATAACTCATCAAAAATATAAAGGCGAATCACATAATTTTATCGTACCGGTCACCGAACGGTGACCGATAAGAAATCTGAAAACGGATTTTATTTTTATTATACTTTTATTATTATTACTTTTATTTGTCATTCAGTTTAATCGGCTTTTTTTCCATTTTAAAAATATTTTTCCAAACGTTTCTTCACGTTGTACTTTTGTAGTAAAACTGTAGACAAAAGATATCGAAGTACAAAAAATCATCTTCAGTAAACTACATCTCAAATTCTAATGAGTTTCAGATTTCTTATCGGGTCACTAGGTCGGACCGTACGATTGACAAAAATGTGTCTTTTTATTTCATTAGTAATAGTTATTAATTAATAATTATTGGTTTGCGAGCGATGCGCTTTGTGACTTATGCACGCGCGTGGGAGAGGCGAGAGCTTTCACCAAAAAGGTAATAGCTAAAAGAAAAAACCTGGGCACCCGCTGAGAGAATATTACTGATAATAATTTTATTTTATGAACTTAATCAGTGTAAATAGTATATTTTCTTATTAAGGGAATTGCATGCGGTCGGTTTTTTCAGTCAAAACACATCATTTTTATTCCATTGCACAGACCGAACCAGTGATCCGATAAGCAATCTAAAAACAGATTTTAATTTGCCATGAAGTTTACTTATGATCGGTCAGGGAACTTTTTTCAATTTTTAATTTTAGCCTTTTCCAAGTTTGATTTAAAAATTTGAAATTTTATATAATGTTCAAACGTGTTTTATACATAGTAGAAATAAAGTATCAAAAGAGTACCCTGACCGATCATAAGTAAACTTCATAAAGAATTCAAATCTGTTTTCAGATTACTTATCGAATCACTGGTTCAGCCTGTGCGATGGAACAAAAAATGTATGTTATATTAACTAAAATGGTTTTTACTCATAGACAAAATAAATTAAATTAAAAATAATACCATGAAGCGTATACAAATTAACCGGAAAATTATTTGACATGATCGAAATTTATTAAAACCACTTTTTTCTTAAATATTGCCTATACAAAACTCCTTAAAAATCAACCTCATGCAATCCCCTTGACGGATATTATATAAGTCTATCACTTCCCATTTGTACTGCATCTTGTGAACGTTCGTTTTCTACTTAAAGAAAAATAAAGATTTGGCTTAGAGTTTCAATGAGACAGGACAGACTTACAGGTTTGCCAATACTCTAAATAGAAAAAGATATGACAAATTTAATTAACATGAACAAAGTTATTGACACATTTGCAGAAAAAGCAAAGCTTATAAGCTCTCGTATAAAATACCTGTTAAATGTAATATTGCATATAATTTTAATTTGTTTACTATAAACTAATATGCTAATAAACTAAAGTGTTAAATGTTAAATTACTATACAACATCCATGCTCAAAAAACATTAACCTCATTAATTAAAATTTAAATTTAAATACATGGAAAATGTAGTGCTTAAGCACCCTCAATTTTTTTATTCAAATTGCGCCTATGCATGTAGGTTTATCAATACATACACATAAGACACAATACATTACACTTAGTTGATATTGTCCATGATAATAATTGTAATGCTTAATCACAAATGACAAAAAAATTATGTAGTAGTTAAAAGTTAAATTTTAATGTGATTTATTTTGTATTTGAAAGAGGTAAATTACTAACAAAGTATTAACATTTTTATACATTCAAAAAACCAGACATCGTTCTTTGAAAGTAAATGTAACATTTATTTAAATAATTATTGGTAGAAATTTAATTTTATTAAGGAAGACGGTAGGTATTGACTAAAGACTGAAAGAATACGGTTTACGTCCAATTCTCTATTGGACGTAAATTGTTGGTTTCATTAAAATCTTCTGTTTACATTTCATTGCGGTACTGGTAATCAGATATTATTAGCTTTAAGATAATGTTTTATTTTAGTATGTAATTGTAAAGACTGTACAAAATTAATTAGAACTCGTAATTTATTGAAACAAAAAGCAACCTCTTACAGGTTTAATTATTGTCTGAGCTGTCCCAATTGAATAATATTAATATTGTTAACTTCACACAATTAAAAACACCTAATACAGCTACGTAAGATACACAGGTATTCATGGTTGCCTTCACGTAATTCGAATTTTTTTATCTTGTCATTGTCATACGTCTGAACTCTAAACTGAAGAAAAATTTGCCCACACATGGTAACAAACCGGTAGGCACTTTGATGAAAAATTAGATGAATCTAGATCACTTTATGCCGCACCTAGGACTAATCAGTCCATTGGGTTTTGGTCATTAACGTCTAACGATATAATTTGCTTGCCAGGTTTTGTCTATTTAAGAGGGCTTAAACTTTAAGAGAATTTCTTTGTCAAAAATCTCTTAAACACTTACATTATCTATAGTTCGAACCTGTCCATCCTCCTATCGAACACTTCACAGAAAACAACGACTGAACACTGGCCATTCTGCCAAGCAAGCGCCCGAAATAGGCATTCGGGCCTACTCCCGGACATTAATGCCATGTAAAAAAAAAACAACTAAGTAAATTCTATTCTCGACGTTTTCGTATTATACCTAATTTAAAAACACATATTTTGAAAAATATTTTAAGTAGGTAGTTTTACAACTAATTATTTTTTGTAATAAACATAAATGAAATAAACTTATCACTAACAATAAGATTAAATTAACATAATACATAATTTATGTTCTCTTTTAAAAAAAAAAAAAAAATGTTTTATTTTATTGTAACTTCTAATTCTAAAATGGCGATCGGCACTCTAAATAAGTCAATGACTCTTAGAGCAAGTTTTACTAACTATTGTTAGTCCACTCGGCCATTTAGTTGTCATAATTAGCGATAAATTAACAAGAAACTAGCAACAAATAAAAATTATCCTAAATCTTATCAGTTAAGTGTTTATTTATTCTCATAAAATATTGCAACATGTCTTAAAAATGTAACTGTTATATTATTTGTAAGTTTTGATCTATACACTTTTTGAAATCGCCTAACAGATAAAAGTTAGGTATTCCAGATTCTGCAGCTACACAGATACCATATTGTAAAAACAATATCTGCTTAGCTTTGCATTGAATCTAATATACTATAGGATATAGTAAGTTCTAAGTGACTTGTTTTTGTCATGTGTTATGCATATTTTGTAGGTATAGGTGGTATTCCATTGTTGATGCCTATATTGCTTCTGTTATATAATATACGCCAAGATAAAACTTCGACAAATTGAAATTTTTCAATCTTTTTTATTGCTTAAGACAAACTAGCTGCCCGTGTACCCGGCTGCGTAATATTTTGGAGGTAATGCTTAGCCTACAGATAATTGCCAACCAGGAAAGTAGGTAGGGGCTTAGGAGGATCTATTAACGGCATCGGTTGAACCTTTTCTCCGTTTCAGCACACACCTGGGCTCAAAGCTTCACCTTTCCAATTTTTTGCTTCACAGTGTTGGCATGTCAAAAGCATTCATCCTATGAGATACGAAGGATTGGAGGCATAATCTACTGATGGGTCCTAACTCCATATTCATAATCAAAAGCTGCATTCTTTAAAGTTCTCCAATTACGTATTTTATGTAGTAGTTGTTGCAGTTCCCTAGATGATACCTATGATATATATATATATATATATATATATATATAAAATTCCCTACGGGTCATAGACTTGGTTGGGCATCTCACACAGACAGACAGAAAAAAAACTTACTTTTCTTATAAAAATATATTATTTTTTTTAGGGACACGCTTAAATAGTTAAGACTTGTATGTACTGATTAATAGTAGTTTTACCAGCTGTCGTCTTTGCGTGACATTTCAACTGATAGCCAGTGTGTGTTACTATATCATTATCATATGCATATTGGAATATACAAACTAGTTTGTTAATGTATTCACAAAACACATAGTACATACTTTAAGGCATCATGAGGCCTTACACCTCAGTATTATAGCTATTTTTGTAACATTTCTTAAAAGTTTAGTTGTCATTGAGCGCTTGAAGAAGTTGAATGTATATTTTACATTTTGTTTTTGGGCGCACCGAGTTAGCAATTCCAGTATAAAATCAAAAGGATAATAAGTGAGATAATAATATTTATAAAAACGACGTTACTTTTGTGTTAGGATAATCTAATTTATGACATTGAGTTGTTACATTAGAGTTTTTAGACAACTCGAATTTAATACAATTCTATGTGTCTAATACAATTTAATGCAGTACATATATCTCTTTCCTAAAAACTTTCCTATCTGTATTATTTTAATAATTATTGTATTGTGTTATTTTAAAGAAGCGATTCTAATTATTTCTAATTTGAATTTCAAACACTATTTTTTTAAGGTTCGTCACAATTTTTTTTTTAGCTGAGTAGGTAATTTCAATTATAGCATTTAACTAACAAAATCTTTTTTTTGTTATTATTAGGAGTTCCTGAGCAAACGATTTATTGAGACTATAATGATTAACAGTGATAATGATAAACAATCATACATCGTTAACATTAAGTTAGCGAAGTATTTAGGCCTTTATCAGATTATTAATCCTAATTCACCCAAAGCATATGGCTACAACGTTTATTATTTCGTCGTGATTTTAATTTTAGTGTTCATGATGGCTATGTTAAGCTGTTTAATGGCCGGTCTATATTACTGGATTAATAATATGGATCAAATCGTCATGCTCTTAGAAATAATTATAAATTCTTCGTTCATGGCCTACAAAGGCATAGTTATTATCCGTCATTCGAATGAGATTTGGAATGTCCTGGATCTCACCCGTGTTGACTTCATGAAGTACAGATGTCACGACAGAAGTATTCTTAAAAATTGCCGCAACAAATCATTGTTGATCACTAACATTTATGCCATTTTGTGCTATTGTATATACTTTTCGTGGGTGTTATTGCCGTTTATTTTTACACCTACTTATTTGTACCTGAAAGAGCGTGACGGTACATTGGGTAAATACCGGATAAATACTTACAATTTCTATTTCATAGTATCTGATGTCACTTATAATGCATACTTCCGTGTATTCCAATTTTTGGAAACTTTTTATGGACTATGCGCCATCCACTTTTCAATCGTTTTTGATACTCTTTTGATTGCGATATGCTATTCGTTGTCCAGCCAATTGGAAACGTTAAAAAGCACCTACAGTTCGTTAGGACACACGCCAAAAAGAGTGTTGTATGGTAAGCAGTCCATGTTCTATAAGATTTATACTTGCTAGTGATTCTTGATCATGTTGTTAGAGACGAAATGCTTTTAATTATAATTATTGTAGATGATGATATTGAGTGCAAAGATGTAAACCGTGTTAAACCAGTAACGTCGGATGACATACAAATGATTATTTCAGACCATCAAGCAATTATAAAGTAAGTGAACAATTTTGCAAGCAAAATACAGAGTAGTCTCTCTTTTTTTTAAACTCTATAAATGACGTTACACCATATTCTTACTAATACACTTTATTATTCTTTAAGGCGCATAACATGTCCTAGGACACTATTTGATATTCATTAATAGGGAAATCAGTAGTTTGAGCGTATATGTATTATATACCCGAAATTAATAATTAACTACATATTATTTACTTAGCTGATAAGACATGTTTTACCTAATAGGTAAAAACAATATCACAACAATATTAAATACTAATAAAGATTTAATTTTACTATGTTATAGTAAATATAAGGCCAGGTTTCAAAACCAGCTAAAATACACGTAAACGTGTTTTTTTCAAATGGCCACACTCTATAACATGGTATATAAGTCTATAATTGAATACGAAATAAAGATTATAACTAACCTAAACTGTATTGGAAAAATCTTAGTTGGTTTTAAAATCACACATCTTAAAAAATTATTTGTTGTTTGTAAAAATGTTCATTGCTTTTAACTGGTTTTAAAACTATAGACACTTCTTTATACATGAGCATACATATTCTAGTTTTAGGCAAGTTTCAAATAATTTCCTATACATTATACATTACTCCTAAATAAATAGGTAATGTTGCGCCCCCTTCTATATTGATTAGTTTGAATTAGGAGAATAATAGATTAAAAAGTTATTATTTTTAATTTATATGAAAAATTTGCGGAAGTTTTAATTTACACAACACTTAAAACTGTAAAGTCAACACAATAGTTTAAAATTTAAATAGTCAGCCCAACCATAAATCACGATTAATATGAAGACTCAATTTTATACTCGAGACTTAAAAATTAGGACATGCTAGTTCCAGGTATGAATAAATAATTAAATTGTATTTGTTTATAGTCAGACCTCTCTTAGAGTATTGTTCAGTTTTATGGAACCCCACGCAAATTGGACATATTGAATCACTGGAGCGGGTACAAAGACGTTTCTTGCGGCTGATTGGCTATAAGAGACGCCTTGGTCTTGATCCTAGCCTCCCCTGTTCTACTTCCACTTTATCTTCTATTCAGGCCAGCCTTAATTTGGTATCACTCGGCACTAGACGTGAGTCAATTGACGTTTCCTTCCTTTCGAAGATTATAAAGGGTAATATTGTTTGCCCAGATTTGCTACATCTTCTTAACTTTCATATCCCCGCTTTCAACTCCTGGTCCATCCCTACTTTCTCAATCCCGTTTCACTACACATCATATGGTTCCAACAACCCTATCGATAGGATATCTCGTGTATGTAATAGGCGTAATGATATTGATTTATTTGTTTAATTATATATATATATGCACTGTTACTCATTAAAATTTTGTGTTATCTTGCTTTAATTATTTTATATTGTACTAATTGTAGTTATTTTTTCTTTCTATATGTCATGGATATCAATTTTATCAATTCGTTATTCATTATGTTATTTTATTTTACTGTAATGTACTTGAGCCTACGGGCGTTTATTTAATAAATTAATTAATTAATTAATTAACAAAAAATAAAAGCTGTATAATAACTGTGAATATAAAATTATTGGGCTTACTTTTGAGTAGGATGTTAGGTTGGTTATAACTTACTTTTGAACGACCAAACGTGTTAATGAAATACTTAATTTATAATGGGCATTTACTAAGTTCTTTTATCAACGAATTTGATACAACTTAATTAAATATTAAAAGTATTTTTTTGGTTTTCCTTTGAACTCTCATTTTTTTTATAAATATAATACTATTACAGAAAAATGGAACAGTTTTACAAGATAGTCCGATCAGTTATTCTTTCACAATTGGTTGTCTCTTCTAATACACAAATATTTATGTCTTATATTATTGCGTTGGTAAGCATAATCATTTATTCTAATGTTACTGATATTTTTACAAACATTTTTTTGATTTTCCTAGAACTTCATGAATAGTATAGGTTTGAGATCGGTCGAAACAATAAAAATGTTATGTGCAACTCCAATTTTTTCTATCCAGCTTTATTTGACGTGTTTGTTGTTTGGAAATATAAATAAACAAGTAAGAACAATAGTAACTAATGCTTAATAAAAATGTCACTAATTTTACTTAAAATCTAATTTTTTAAATAGTTACGACGATTGACGGATGGATGCATTATTATAATTGTGCTGTGTTTATTGAAATCGTTAATTTTAAACTCCATTGTACAATAATCTTGTCCATTAAATATTTAGTAATTTATTAGGTAGTACCTACGTATTTTTATTTTGTACATGTCCCATACTTCCATGCTTGTTTTAGTTATAAAAAGATACATTTTTTTGCAAACATAACATGGTGTGGGCTGCCGGCGGCCGCGACTCTGACACCGCCGGAAACTATAAAAAAAATCGAAGTCTACAAAATTAAGTTATATTTATATAATATAAATTAACCATAGCTTTTTACTTAAACATCTAATCTGTTATAAAATATATCGAACTCAGTTTTATTTATTTCTGTAAAAACAAAAATCAGCGTTAAACAGCTTAACTCTATAATCTGTTGTTTTATTGACTATAATAAAAAATAACCATAATAATACGAATTCAATAATAGGTACCTAGTTATTATTAAACTAAACATTACTGTTTCGTTTTTTAAATAATTTACTCAATATGTATGGGATATGTATGTATAATGATTCCAATATGTTTAGAAAAATGAAATCAACTTTGCACTCTACAGTAGTGATTGGACAAACATGGATTCAAAATGTAGAAAGTTGATTTTATTCGCTTTAAGAATGAATAATGCAAATCGATTAACCATGAGAGTGACGGAAACAAAAATTGTCAATTTGGAAATGTTTAAAAATGTAGGTATTCTAATAAACGATTTTAATCATCCAATTAAATATATTTAAAATGTACATGTATAAAATCAGGGGGGCAATACTTTTACAGTGCCCCCTCCTACATTAAAAAAAAAAAATCCACGTCTTATATTGTTAACATTTTTTTTATTACCTATTTTACGATTTTAATGTTTTATATCGCAATAATGTAATGTTTATAATTAAATTTGTTTTTTCAGGTTTTGCATATGAGTTATTCAGTATTTTCTGTGTTGGTGAATTCTAACGCGCCATAAAAAACAAAACTACGATCTAAAATGTATTGTTATAGTATTTACTTGTGCACCGAAAATGTTTGTATAATTGTAATATTGTTTAGTAAGGCTACTAATGTTGGGTTGCAGATGTTTAGTGGTTCCCCTGTTTTTTTTCTGTGTTCAGGCACATTCTCTTCGGGAAAAGGAAGACACCTCGTCGAGTAAAGGGATAAATTCTTATTGCAACTCTAAAAATGTAATTTTTAAAAATGAATTTGAAAATAAGTTGACGTGATCAAAATGTATAAAACACTAAACATGTTTTTTCTTATAAAGTATTGCTTATATTAATAAATAACCGGCAGGTTTCCATTCAATTTTAATAAATAAATATTAAATTTATAGATTTTTTATGCAACCTCGCATTAGTGTACCAAGTATGTATACTATTCTACTATTTGTAAATTATTTTAGTACATAGTCTAGTATAGATTTATGTTATCGCGTCATACGTAATACTTAAGATATATTCCTTTATAATTAGCTAGATGTTTACACAAACACAAACATAAATATTATATTAAATAAACTTATTGCAGTTAGTCTGAAATTATTTTACTGATAAAAATCAATGTGTTTTAGCTTTAACATTTTTTAAACATTTAAAGATTTTCATTAAGATGATTAAAATATTTTGTTTTGACGTATAATTAACATGATAATTAATACTTCTTGCTAGGTTAGGGTTTTAGAAAGTTTTTACAATAATCGAAAATTTATTAGTAATTAAAAAAATAACGTTAATAAAAAACTTTTTAAAAACATGCTTTCCTAAAAAATAGTAAAAAAGTTACTAAAAAGTAAAAAATAATTATACTACAAGAACAATTAGAGCATTTTATTTAAAAAGTCAATTACTTAAAAAAAAGCACCCCCGGCATTTGCAACTTGGATGTCCGGATCCCAATATTATGACGGAACATGTATTGTCATCCAAAATGAATGTCTAGGTTAAATTTCAGCCTTCTGCGATATTGGGAAGTGGGTTAAATTAATTTTGGAAGATTTGAAAAAATTTAAATTTTAGTGAAATAACCCCCACATATGACCCTGTGTAGGGCAACCTGGATGTCTGAGTCCCAATATTATTAAAGAATATTGTACTATCGTCCGAGATGAGTGTCTGAGCCAAGTTTTAGCCCTCTAGTGGGTTAAATTAATTTACAAGATTTAAAAACTACCTGTACAAACGTACGTACGTGTTAGTGAGTTAAAGAAAAGCATGTAAAATACAATTTGTCCGTAGGTCTTATTTAAATATAAAATACAGCGTGGATCATGGGGATTTCACAGATTTGTAATGTGTAGTTCACTATATAAATCAGTTTTGTCGCATGGCAAAGCAGACAAGCTTTTTATTGATAACACAACAGTTATGTACCTATTACCTATTATGTAAATTTGTTTTGATAAATGACAAAGTTTAAGAGGAACGGAAAGCGTACAATTTATTTACAAATACATACTAAAACGCGAAGTTACTTTCTGAAGTGTCTACCAAACAAATTTCATATTTTGAAATTTAATTTTTTTTCGTTGTACAGTTTAACTTTTTTGAAAAGTTAGTCTTTTCTATGGGGTCCAAAGGCCGATTTTTTTTTCTTTCAAAAAAACTATAAGCATTTATATTTTTAATTGTTTATAGTTTTTTTTCTAAACAGTGAACAGTGATTTCATATTTCCCTTATACTGGTTACACTGACGTCGAACCCAAATAAGTTTCGAACTCCTGGTCTGTTCAGACTTCAGAGTTCAGGCATGTGACGTTACGAAGTGTCAAGAATCAAGATAAACTGGATGAGTTATAACTTTTAAATGTATTTTAAAAACACAATCTAACCAATTTAACACAATCTATCTTATAATTTATATTATGAACAAGTGTATTCTAATATAAGTTACCATTGACTTGAAGCGCAATAACAAAATACTAACAATTTTGGAAAACAAATTTCATTCACATTTCTCCCTAAAATGTGTGGTTATTATATTATTATTTTTTGTTCTAAATTGAAAAACTATATGCCAATATTAATTTAAAAAAAACTGTTAATTTATTTTCTAACTTTGTAAACTAGGTTCTCACTTACAACTAAAAACATTCATAACTATACACTATACTTAAAATATAAAATTGATAAATATGAAAAACTACAATGTTAAAATTTTGGGAAAATTCTTGAGGGTCACAATTATTTTCTTTATCATATTATACTCTTGGTTTATCACAATAAGAATGTTGTTTTTACGACTCGATTTTAGTGTATCGCTCCAAACTTAAATGAGTGATAACACGTATCTAAAAATTAGTATAGAATTAAAAAAGTTTTTAATGCTATCCTGAAAAATGCCGAAAATATAGATATTACGGCTTACCTCATGGACATAATAGAATAATAATACACAATTGATATTCTATTATGTCTATGGTTTACCTGCCTAACGATAGAAAATTTGAAGAATAAATTGAAGTTTTCCCGCCATAATGTTACAACAAAAAACTATTATCAGGTTATCACTTCACTTTTATCTGTTTCAAAAGCATCCGCGCCACAGAATAACAATATTTTCTTTCTATTGTACCAACTCATTAAAGCTGTGGTCACAAGAGCGTTAAAAAACGGACTTCATTACAACGTCCGTTTTTGAATATTGTTATCATAAATATCACACACAATATGACGTCCGCGGGCCATTAATATTGCTGTCTGTTTTGCGTCAAATACATGCTGCGACGTCCGTTGCAATCAACGCTCATGTGACCCCAGCCTAATCGGTTATTCGTTATTGATAAGGAGAATTATTCCAGTAATATTTTTCGTCAAACAAAATACAAATTACTATTTAATATTTATGCAATAACTAAATAGGTACTCGTTGTTCATTTTTCCATAAGCGTTTACATTTTTAAAACAGACTTACATTTATTTATACGTTTGGTATTATGATAATTTAAATTCGTGACAACTATGAATTCTCCATTATTTTGTTATTCTTCAACATCTACGCGAAGTATGGACTATCGTTAAATAAAACATTTGAAAATTGACAGCGTATTTCACATGTAATCATTTTTGTTTCAGGTATTTCGCCGTCATTTACACCGTCACCACATAAAGATTCTACTCCTAACTTATCGATAATAGAGACTTGCTGTTTATTGGCAAATCGCATTGAAGAATGGCATGAGAGAGATTTACAAAATTCATTTATTGACGTCATTTATGAAATTTTAGGACGTTCATCAAGTAGAGGATGGAACCTAGATCAACTAAAAATTAGGGTAATTTTATTGTCATGTATTTAGATGTAATTAAAAAACGCTTATATTTTGCAATCAATTGGTTTTAAGTACAGAACATTTTTATTATTTTAAACATTAGTAACTCAAGTTTTTGTTCTTTCAAACTTTTACTTACTATCGCTATTGGTAATTTAAAGACTTAGTACAATATCTTGCTTTATTGTTATATTGATATAATATATTAAATTATAGCTGGAATAGTCATTCAATTTTTGTTTTTAATCTCTTTTAATTTTAGTAAAAACGTTACGTTTGGTCATACAACTTTGAGTTTTGAATAAAATTGTAACTGAAATTAATTTTGTCATACAAATTGTAACGACCTCTACATTTATAGATTTGACCCATTTTGAATAATAATTTAAAAAATTACATTCCAATTACGTTTACGGGATTATAGTTACTTAATACTAAAATATGTCTTTTATTTTTTTTAATCGTTCTACTATGTTATCAATGCAATTAATAAATATTAAGCCAAACTAAACTTACTTTTAGTTATGGTATTATAAACTATTGAAAAACATGCAGCTCTATAAATATTTTTATGAAAACTATAAAATTCACAAATTCATCTCGGATAATGATTTGCTCTTGAGTGTTTTGCCAGGTTAATATTTACAAAAGGTTTACTATACCATATTCGGAATAAGAACAGTACGGCGCAGCCGACTGTTGCACGCCCATGCGCAACCAGTCCTGTTCTTATTCTGAATAGAGTATAGTTACATCGCTAAGTAATTTTTTCAACTATTAAAAAACATTTTCAGGTACACTACACTAATAAGTATATGAGTAAAGAAGCGGAGAATGTATATTATTTATTAAATTGTCAAGGACCTATTTTCAAACTATGCTACAAACTACTTTCCAACAGTTTAAATAAATTTCATGTTTATTTTTCTGATTTACCTGTGAGTACTGTAATTCACTAAAATAATAATTAAATCACAAACTAATAGAAATATTAAAATTTTTATAATTTGTATTTAATGTACTTTATAGTTTGAATTAGCTAAACGACTCGAACAGTTATCACCCAGATCGTTTTATGGTGTACGATTTTTTCATCATGCAGATTCAAATATACCAATTGGTCTCCATCTTAGTATCCTTTTTAAATCAAACTAGAACTCTTTTTTTTAATTATTGAATAAGGCCTGGCTAAAAAGTAAGCTTGAGAGAACTTTTATTTTAAATGTTCTTATGATAAAGTTCTCAAAAGAACTTTTAGTATGAAAGTTGAATTATATAATAGTATGTCTAACAAAAAGGTTCTTGCATAAACTGTTTCAAAAAGTTCCTAAAAAAGTGTGTTAGAATAAGACATTTTTTTAAAATAAAAGTGCACAGTTATTTCAGAACCCTACTTGTAAATATTTTCCATTGAAAATGGATAAATAACCTATATTTTTGGGGTAAATATGAGTGACAAAAATTTCAAAAAAATTAAAGTCTTTTATTCAACCTAAAGAAGTTTATAAAAAAAATGTTGAGGAGATCGTGGTTTGACTCAGAATGCCCCATATGTATATTAGAAATTTGAAGTGAACAGGATTATATAATATTCTCTAAGAATTATCTGTAAAACAATAATTACACTTATAGAGTTTATTACATTTTTTCTTAACCAAATTTTATTAGATTCTTTTGAGTTTTACATGTTTCACTTTGCTGTTTATGGATTGAAGTTGGTTAAGAATGATAATTTAAGTACAGATATTGATCCCAGCATAGAATCTTTGTATAGATATTTGTGCTTAGAGTATCTGAATTGTTTTCTACCTCTTGAAAATTCTGCTGCTATGGTACCTCCTCAGATACAATTTAATGTGTTGTCGACAATGCAGCAACAAAAACCATATTCTAGTACAAAGTATAATTATTAACTTTATTCAACCTATATATATATTTTTTTAACTACATCAATTCATAAGCGAAGTAGTTGGTTTTTTATTCACATTTTTTTATCATAATTTTTATTTATAATAATTTGGTTATCACTTATATACATTTTCTGTTTATTTAGTAAAACTTCTAGTTTCATTCGAAAGGATGTTGCATCCATGAAAGATTTAAGATTTAAGATGTTAAGTAGTGATGTTGAAAATTCTTCATGCGTGTTGACTTCAGAAGCAACATGGCGCAGTGAATTGCTTGCATACTATTTTACTGACATATGGTTAAGCCATAATGTTAATTGTGTAAGTTACCTATTTTAAATCAATTAGTTAAACACATTAAGCTAACTTAAGATGAAACATGGTTTTGCAAATTTACTCTCTACCAAGATAAAACGAGTATGATATTATGTTCACTCACAAATGTCTGTGAAATATATTGTGACAATCGGAAACATGTTCCGTGTTTACTACTTTATGACATTTATGACCAATCATTTTTTTTCTCCATATTATATTTTTTACTTGTTTGATATTTATCTAGTTGTTTTAAAACCCTACTTTGAATATTATTTACAGGGGCCTTCATCTGATTTAACAAAACTGATTAGATGTTTTTTAAAACACTTGCATTGCTACACAAATTGCGCTGATCACAAGCCTGTGGATAATTTAAAGCTGTATGTTCTTTTATTATTAGTCTGATTTTAAATAGTATTTTTTTGTTTATATGTAATGTAATAATATACTGAAATTTATTATAGAGTATTGGCTGCTCGTCACAGGGGAAAAATTTATCAATATTTGGCGTATTACATGGACCATTGGCCACAGGACTTTTCGTTTCGTTTATTGTTAGAGAATTGGCTAAGCTACATTCAGCCTTGGCGTTATGATGGAACAATGAAACAGTATGTGTGACATAACAATTATACTAATTATATCAAGTCAGGCAAGCTTTTGGCCGAGTGAGATAAGGCAGCAGTGTAATAACACACGGTAGTTGGTTTAATTCTCGGCCATTGACAGTTTGTTTCTCCGGGGGGGGGGGGGCAACTGTCAGAGCAGAGAAATTACCAACTGTCTCCCTTGGGTGCCAAACTTGTTTAGTAAGCGTTAGGTTAGCTAGCTGTAAACCAAAAACTGCTTAATCCAATAAACTTTTTGAGTACCAATTGATAAGGAATAAACAGATGTTAAATGTGAAAAATTGTATTAAGGGGGGGGGGGGGGTATAGTATTAAAATTTTTTTTTTTTGTTAACTAAATGCATAATATCTCAAGAATATTGTGTCAAAATTTCAAGTCAGTCGGAACAAAATTGACGACGTTATGAGTTGTCGGAATTTTATAGCTGCCCGGCCCGAGCGCACTATCGTTAACTTTAAAGCGTTTTTCCCAACACTCACGTTTTCAAAGTCGGTGACCCTCATAACTTCAAAACTACTACACCGATCTTTTTAAAATTTCGAACACTATTTCTGTACATAACTTACGAGGTAACGCTGGAGATTTTTTTTCAAATTTGTTAATATTTTTTATTTTACAATAACAAATTAGCCAAATTTTTTCGCAAAAATCGCGTTTTCCCTTCAAAGTGTTCCCAAAAAGTGAAAAATTGAAATTTCAAAACCCCCTCCCGGCATTACCTGGGAAAAGCAATTATCTAACGAAAGAACTTGATTTTTTTAATTTCGGATGATCCAGCATCAGTTATGAGGGACACCGCAATTCTACTTTTTTCCGAGACGCTTCCGAATAATTGCTGCCATTCCCGTATTTTGTAATATTTCTACATGAAAATATTACACAATATTCTTTGAATGTTATACTTTAATGTACCATTAGTTTTAATAATTCGATTTTAACTGTGTCGTCAAAAAAAATTCACAAAAATTTGCCGTTTTTTGTACAAATTAACTTTACCCCCCCTCCCTTAAGCCTTGTTATTATTGTTAATTTCAGTCAAGTAATGATCTCAGAAAAGGAAATGAACGACAAGTGGAGAATATTTATCATCAGGAATTTATTATGTTACACAAAACTTTTTTACTGGGCTATTAAACGGTTCAACTGTATTGATATTTGTTCTCCTCGATATTCAGCTATGATTTTTCGATTGCTAAAAGTAAGTAACATAATTAATTTACCTAATAAAGGTGATATATTGGATTTATAAATTTATCCATAAAAATTCAGGTGTTCACTCATCCGTATTTGTTAAAAATTGTACTTGATGTGGAACATAGTTATTTAAATAATCAACCAGCCCATAAAAAATGGAATTTGTTGTTGTCTGAAAGTTTAATTGAAGCCGAAGGACCTATGTTTAAATATGAAGCAATGTTTTCTGAAGACCGCACCTTGGAGGTTAGTCATTTATTTCTTTAAAATATTTAAATTGACATTGTGTGTAGGGCAGTTGATAACCATTAAAATTAGTACTAGTAAAATTGGGTTTGATTCTGCACACTATAAAACAAATATTGGCTGCGTCTCCACATTACACAAGCCTTGCTTACTTAGGAGAAAAAGAAGTAAAAAAAAAAATGTATCAAACAACAAGACGGTGCCACAGGTCACACTTCGCGGTGCTCCCTAGCAATCTTGAGAGAGTTGTTTCCTGGACGTCTTCTCTCTTTGCGAGGAGACATCACCTGACCGCCAAGGTCACCCGATGGCAGTGGCTGCCATTACACCGGAAATGACACGAAGAGCTATGGCCTTTCCCGAAAGTTAAAAGTGAACGCCGCAAAGTGTGAATTGTGGCTCCGTTGTTGGAACCAGACTTCTGCCTCATCATAGTTTCTCGAAAACTGGTTTAGGTTAAGTCAGAGGAAATGGCATGTATACAGCTATCGATCGACTCCCCCTCCACCATTGTACCACCACCACAACTCATACAGTGCCATTTCTAAATATGGGAGGTTTTTTTGCTGGACCCTGTATATATTATCATAGGTACAAATGCTTAACTGTGTTCATATTAATAAATAATATTTAATACAAGAATTTAAAGACTTATGTAGTACAATTAAGTTTAAACAACACATGTATTATGTTTGTAATTGTATATTATATTAATTTTATGAACTAAATTGTACAGGGCCATTCATGTAACATGAATTAGTTATTTTCTTTGCTATTTAAACATAGAAAAAGAAACACATTTGCTAGATTGCTTTGTATATTTGTTTGCATGTTGAGATCAAATTTTTAATTACGTGCTTCCTACCTTTCAATTTAAATTAGTATCAACTTTTTATTTTTTTAATATTAGCCATTTTGTTTTGTACCTTTTCTGAGGGAGAAGTTTAAAATTTCCTTGGTTTTCACTGTGCTATATCGGCAGTATTATATCTAAAAAATATTCTACACAAATTTTGGAATTCAATTTTTTTTTTTTAAATTGTTTCGTGTCTTTTTTTTAAGATTAAAAGATTTATACATTTTTAGAAAATTTGGAAGGGAATAAGTAAACTTTTTAATTTTTTTACTTTTAAAGTATCTTTCTAATCTACTATGCAATCTAGTAATTAAAAATGTATTTATTTCAAAAATTAAAAATTAAAACCAAAAATAAACATTGTAAAAACAATACCTTCTCAGGTCTGCATAAAATTTATCAAGAATGAAGGGTGTCATTAAAATATTCAAGGTTGATGGTTGTAAAGTAATTAAGGAAGGGATATAATCCTAAAATATACTGTTAAGTTTCTGTAAAATAAATTGAACCTGTAGGTCTTGAATCTTGTAAGATCATGGCTGATTGTTATCTATGTGGATCACCTTATATGTTTATAGCCTAAATAAAAAAAAAGGACATCTTAAAATGTGTAACTATCTTTCCTTTTCTGTTTTTAGTATAAATTATTCCACAACAAACTACAAAAGTCATTAGACTATGCAGCTCAAGAACTGTATCGTTTTCAAGAAGATAGAAAAGACAGATATAATACATCAATGTTAGACTTGATGTTATCTCCAAGGAAAAACAAAATATCCGATTTTTCCTTGCCTGAGTGGGAAGAGATTCACACAAATATTAAATCTTCAAAATTATTCATGGAACAAATTGTAGTAAGTGATAGCAAAAATTAGTTTAGTTGCAGTGCAAACATTTCTTGCGGTATTTCAAAGTAACAAACACTGTCATCTGATTGCATTATATCGTTTTCCCCCCTTGCTCCTTACTCCAATATGAGTGGCTTCCACACGCTTCCTAACTTAATGGAGATTGCGAAAAGTGTTGCTTAAGACCAATAAGGTAGTGGAAAAATTAACCTTGGAATTGAGTAGCTTTTAAACAGTTCTGTGACATTGGTTCATATTTTTTGAAATAAATTATGTATGAAGCGCTAAAAGTATTATGGGAATATACTTTACAGAAGTAAGCGTTTTGGAAGTAGTTTTTATGGGAGTAAAGATATTGAAAAACTGTTAATGCTGAAAAAGTTTTGCACAGGGACGGAAAATGAACCCAGATCTATTTGAGTTTGTCTTAACCACCGAGTTATTTAGCTACAATTATTTTGTCCCATTTTTAAGGGCTTTTTGATGTAATTATTAGTACATTTTCTCTTGTGGCCATGACCAGATGTTGTCTGCTGGCATTCAAGCCAATTTTTCTAAAACAAAATGATTAATTATAGTTGTATACTATATTCCAAAAGAGAATATACCAAGCGGCGACGGGTTTATGTTTAGTGGCGCGTATCTCCCGCCAAGCGGTTCCCACCACGACGTACTTCAGTTAGGTTCGTGGGTCGGACGGAGATCATCGTATACTTTTGGCAATTATTTTTGCAAAAGTGGGAGAAATTTGCCTTACAGCAGCCGCCACTATCAGTGGTGATGCCCAAAACTGGAACGTTCTCTTTTGGAACAAATTGTATATATTTTGAATTTTGATTTTTATGCTAGAACTATCATCAAAATTAATATCTCGAGGAATAAACTTTATATATTGGTGATTACTATTTTTAATAAATCCATTATCCTAAAACTATTACAATTTAGTTAGAAATAAAATAATAGTTGAAAATAAAGTAATTAGAAAAAATAATTTTTTTATTCCCACTTTTACTATATTTCTTCCTCATATTCAAAACATATTAAATATACTTTGAAAAATTGTTGACTGTTCGATTAAAAAATGTATAATATTCTAAAAATGTATTTAAGTTTTAATGCTCAAAATATATTCTATTCTATGTAGTCTAGCTAAATGTTCGGCAGTTTATAAATTAATTTATAGGTATATAGATAAATACACGGATTCACAAATGGGTAAACAGATGTTATGGGTACACGGATACATGTGTATTTTAATTACAAGTAATTTAACTTAGTTCAAAAAAAGCACGGCTTCCTGTGCTTATTTTATTGAAACCTACTATCAAACAATAAACTTCATTGGGTTCTAAAAAAGTTTCGAACCTGACCGGGGCAAATAAATTGATTGTATAGATATTTTTAATGACAAGTGACAAACAAGATTCTGAAAAAAGTATGATAAATAGGAAACGGATTTTTTACTGGGTTTTTATGTTTTTAACCACTTTGGTCTTTGAGACAGTTGCATTGTTTCGGAAAAATTCTTACAGTTATATAATTATAGCCTGGTCAACTGCTGTCAAGTGGCTGCATCACAGTAGTTACACTGCAGTTTACAACTTGTAATGTAGGGAAGGCTCATCTAATGTAATGATCTATGGTTATTACTTATTAGTATCCTTCAACACCTACTATCACGAGTAGCAGCATAGAAAATGTTTAATATATGTTAAAAATAACATTTTAAATATTTTATTCTACTGTTTTAAATTCATATTATTTGTTAATTAATTTTTTTTTTCAGAGTATTAATGTTACAAATACTCCAATAGCAGCAGATATGTCAGCATCTTCTTTATCCAGTATATATCTTAATCAAAGTCAGCATTCCATGTACACTTCTTTACCACCACAATCGCCGACTGTTACATGTTTAGGACAGGTAAAATTTCTTTAATTATATATATAGGGAGTTCCACGCTAATTCAGCCGCGACTGGTAAGTATGTCTTAAATTTGGAGGGTCAGTAAAGGACCCTAAGTAATAGGAAAATCTAAAATTTTAGCACATTTAACGATTAGCGAATTCCAGATTTTTTTATTTATGATGATTCAGCGCATTTAATAACAATAACAAGCTGTTTATTTACATTTTAAAATCGGTTTTTGTTAGAATCAGTTAGTTTATAATGGCTAATAAAAATGATTAATGAAAATATTTTATGCTTTAAAATCTTCTGATTTAATTATGTATTTCTTGTTTTCTTATGTAGTTTCTTACTGCTTGACGTACAATTTGCTTGGAGCTAACAATTTGATTATTTGGTCTCATGTACATTGCTTTTAAAAATATTCATAACTTCTACAATTTTGAAGGCTACCTAAAAGCTTAATACTCAAAATATTCGCAAACGTTAGGGGCTGAATGTACAAAATTTATAAAAAATTAAAAAATAGACTATTTTAATAATTATTATGGTTGTAAAAAAAAAATGTTTTCATCAAGAACAACTCAATAGGTAGCACATGTTTACCGCATAAATTTCTAGTTTCTTGAGTATTGCCATTTACAACACTATATAAATAAGCAATGTCTTATTAAGATATTCTAACCTTATTAATTTTTGTGTTATTATTCTGCTTATAGAATTTATCTCGATCTCCACCTAGGGTTGTATTTCGCACAAAAGAATGGGAGATTGATCCAGATTTTCAAAACACTCTGTCGTATGAAAACCATTTTCTTGTACAATTGAGTATTTCCTGTAGAAAAGCTGTAGAACGTTTTGTAAGTAAAATACATTTAATCATTTTTAATTTGCATAAGCGATGCAACTTATTGACAATACTATAGTCAATACTGTACGAAATGCAATATTATTTTTTCCTTAAATCAGGTTAGTTTTATATCAAATAAAATTATACAAATTCTTATGTTTCATTTTATAAAAGAATTTGTGTTGCATAAATATTAAATAATTGATTGTTTTTGCTTGAATTTTAGTGGTATCCATATGTATTAACCATGTCCACAACAGAGAGTGTTCTAGCTGGTGTTTTACGGCAAACAATTATTCGACAACCAATGAAAATTTATACTTATGAGCCTCGACAAGATGGTTCCGGAAGACGCATAAGGACGCCGAAAACTGTTCCTCCGACAATCAGCTTTCGATCATTGGCTTCTTATTTTAAAATAGCATGGGTTTTATTTGTTTTAATATTGTTTTTCAAATTCAATAGTTTGACATTTTGTATAATTGTTTGGTATATTTTACGCATAAGCTTTATGTGTATTAAATACCTTATAGGATATGCTCCGCCATACAAGTGGGACGACTTAAGTGAAAATTAGTATTTTACTCATCAGGCAACCTTATTGTATTTTTGTTTTGTTTAATAAGTTAACAAATTAATTTCTCAAAGACATTTTTTTCAATTTTAATTTTTAAAAACCATTTTTGACAGTTAATTGTTAATTAATGTATATAAAGGGTTACAACTTTTCATTATAATATTATAATTACATAAGTTTTATACAACTTAAGTGTTTTTTGTTATTTGATCTATGATACAATGCTGTTACAAGTAAAATTATTATTAAAAATAATGGAAATGACATTGAAAAAGAATATTGAATTTAAACTGAATATTTACATTTTATAATTTTTACAACCTAACTATTATTTAAGCTGCTGGGTTTATAAAACAATAATTATTACTATTACACATTTGAACAACAATGTTTGTTATCTTGAAATAATACAAATACATCTCCTAATTAAAGCAGTTTAGGAAGTACAAAATATCTAGTATTTTTTAAATAACTTTTTATTACTATAGATTTACAAAATTAGTGTAGATAATCACTAATAATAGGCCATGGAATTGGTATACTCTTTGAATAAGAAGCAGCAAAAAATATTATGTGCTTTCAATAATTTTTTTACAAAAACAACCGGTTTTCAATTTTTCTTGGAAATTCTGAATTCTTCTCATCAATCTAGTTAAGCGCGTAACGTTTGTTTCCTTTGGTATAATTTCATTATCATCAAGGGTTAGCTCATACGATGATGTCGCCTCGTCTGGAGCTTGGACATTTATAAATATAGCCGCCTGACATAAACAAACAATATTAATATGTAACTATACATTTTATATTTTTATTGCAACTATTATTTTTATCATTAAAAATAAATAACCACCAATCAAATTCAAAATTATATTTAATTCCTTTTTTTTAAATTATTATTTAAAGGAACTATTTTTGTCGTTCATGTTCCTCGAAATATTAAGTCTACATAAGGAAATACTTTATTATTTTTTAATAATGCCTAAACAATATATGTGATATTATGTCATATACCTTTCATATTTTTAGCATATAATTAACTTATTAAGTAATTTTGGACAAATAATATCATACTTATTACCTCTTTATACATGTCAACGGCTTCTTCGACTTTTGTCTTTAAACGAGTTAATTCGTCTTCGATTTCCAGTAATTTAGGAACAAGTCTATCGTCTCGATTCCTCGAGTATTGTTCGTACAATTTGCTGTATTTCCTAAGAAAAAAAAAAAAAAGGTTTTTTGCAGGAGTTAATTTAGACTGTTACTTGGCCTGTTTTAAATAAATACAAACGAACAAATATTGTTCAGACTCTCTTTCCGTGTCCCCTAAACAGATAAGGTAAGCAATAGGAGAATAAATGTTTACTGACTTAGTTAGCGTAACGCATTCGGCGGTCATGGACATCATGGTAAGTTTGAGCTCTTGAATTCGCTGGGATAACGTCTCGAAGTGCTGTACGGTTTTCTCTTTGACGTACGGATTATTTACTTTGTCTAAAGACTTTTGTTTGCGTTTAAAATGTTGCTTTATGTACGGACCCATGACCTGTTGATAGCTGTCCATAAACCGAGTGGAGCAATTACACGAGCTCTTATTGTGCGCGCACTAAACAGATAATTTCGCATCAAGAAACTAACAGCACGATTAAGAACTTATTTTTTAATGTTATGATGAACCTAATCATTTAAGCTAATAAATAATTAGAGATACCGTATGTATCTTAAATGTGAATTTTCACTAAGAAGTACAGTAATATTTACTATGTTTATTTAGAAAAAGTAAAGAGGTTTTCTCTTAAAGTAAACACTATATTTTCTGAAATTTAAATATCACAAGAAAAAACGTGTTTCTAAACGACGTTAATAAATAAAAATACAATTGTAGGTTTATGGTCTCCCTGTACGGTTAAAGATAATAACTGTATTAAGAAACACTGGATTTGTAATCCAACTCTTTCTTTAGCTAGGAAACATTAACTTTTGGGAGACATTTACATTTGGGAGGATGTGTACATTTGAAATTTCCTATTTCCCAACAACTCAAATTGCAAACATCTCTATATTTGTGACTAAAAAACGAACGATGCACATTATCTTTAGACTATAACTAAATTAATTAAAAAATATCATAGAATTAATAACACGGTCAACATTTTCATTTTTTTTTTTTTTAAGTTCAATAACTATTATTCAAATGTTTTTCGGCATTTTAACAAATGCAAATTGCTATTTTAAATACCTATATAGTTATCGACTTTATGTGTCTTCACCTTCACAGTACTTTAAACAAATTAAAATTAGTAACAAATTAAATTATAGTAGTAAAACGTTTGATTGTTTAATAGTCATTTTAAATTTTAACTCCTAAGTATTGTCGGAGATTATTTATCGAGTACATTATGTTAAGTTGTATTTATTTACTATTAACCCATTTTTAGTAAATAAAAAGCAAAGAAGAGAAAATCTGCTATTGGCTATTACTCACATTAGATTTATCGTCGTCAGCATCGGTTTGTCTTACGGCCCATGGATCACGCGGGGTTCCGTCATACGTCTGATCTTCGTCTTGTGAGTCTGTCCCATATTCAGACATGGCAGGGCAATATGGCTGGGAATCTGAGAATTGTGATCCACAAGCCCCGTTGTTGTTCTTGTTGAACAGTTTGGATTCTGTGAGGAAATTGTTCGACTCTGTCCACTCTTGATCTGCATCGAACCTTCGTTCTCGAAATTGCTAAACGTGGGAGTAATAAATAATCATGAGCAGATTGCTAAGCTCAGGAGTACAACAATTATCCTAAAGGTATATATAGTCATCAAACACGACAAATGTCATTTGCTATTTATCTATTAATGATAATGTTGGACATTTTAAGACGTATAAGACAGAATTCTAACTACTTCTTGCAAGAAGCAATGAAATATTTTGTCACATTTGAACTAGAGGAACGTATCAACCAAACATTTTTTTTTTTGTAGAATTTAGTGTTAGAACGATGGAACTCTTTAGAATACTGGAAGAAAATTATTAGAATTAAAGAAACGTACATCCGTGACTAGTAATTATACTTATTAATTTATAAATATTAGGGTGAAATTAAAACATTGTTACTAAGCTAAGAGTGTAATAATTTTCATTAGAGTTGAAACTAAATGCTAAATCTAATAAATTTTGTACAAACGTACCTAAGTTAAATAAAAAAAAATCGAAATTTGCCTCGCCTGAAAAATGTGCACTTGGTTGATACGTTCCTCAAATTCTAAAGCGACGCTGTCGGTTGCATTTTTTAAATGTAATCGGTTAGCCGACCAAACGGCAAACAGTTTCCTCGTTTACGTTCATGTTTAAACTTACCTTGACCATTGACAGTGCGGTTTGTATGTTCAAGCCTATGTGATAACTTTTACTTGGCGAACCTGTGCATACGAACGGAATTTTGCTAAACACATTTTTGACATCTTGATCCGTGAGTTGGTTTTGCTTAGAGTCCTTGGAAAATGTATAATTAATTAATTAATTCGTAATTTAACAAAAATGTCTTAGTGACCGCTTATGATGGTACATTTTAAGACCCCAGTACATTAATTAAGAATTTTATCTAGGTATGCAATTTGTGTTAAACACTATATGATATTTTAGTTTGCTGAAAGTATATTTCCATACATAGCAATAAAATATTTCTAGAATATTTAAGTGATTATAATTATCAATATTGTCAAAAAGTTTTTAGATCTTATTTTAGTAGTAAATCAAACGTTGCAACAACAGAAATATTTGAATAGTATTACATAAATGCACTGAACTCAATATATGGAACGCGTATTCTGATTGAAAAATGTCCCCACCTGGGAGGCACCCATTTTGTGTACAATTCCATAGGAAGTAAAAATGCTATGTCACTTTTCCATTATATGTATTAAAATGTTAGGGGCGATAGATGTTTTTCTCCCCTACCTTTTATACAGAAGACAGGTCATAATATGAAAAAATATAATACAAAAAAAGCAGTTAAGTCCAAGCCAAGCACAGTATAAACCAGCGTAGTAAGAAAGAATTAAAGTTAGGTGTAGGGTTTAGTGTTAACAAATTAGCATCAACGCGTTTATTTAAAAGTGATTTTATCCGAGAGGACTAGTAGGTATATTAGGGTCTAGGCATAATGTCATCAAAGCATAGAGGGGACGGAGAGGTCACAGGTCTACAGGAATTGTAACTACTGATAAATTTTCAACTTAAAGGTCATAAAATTACGGCTAAATAACCCAAAAAACAAAAAAACTTGCACCCCCCCCCCCTAAGAGATGGGAAATGGGTATAGTTTAAATTTGAGATTATTGACGTGGGAGGGCATACTAAATAAATATTCTTTATGAATTTCGACTCGAACTGACCATTTTTCTCCAAATTATAGCCAGTAAAAGTTCTAACTTTAAAAATCGTATGGTTTTTTTCAAATTTTAACTGTGAAAAAGTAAATATTTTCAACGTTTAACAACCCCCCCCCCCCCACAAAGTACCAACTAGATGAAATTTGTGATTTATAAAGTTCCTACTCTAAGGAATTGGTCCAGTATTAAAAAAGTTTTGATCAGTTGGTAAATGCAATGCATTCAAAGTTTAACATGTCATTTTGAAATTATATTTTCACGTATTGTGACTTAGATAAAATAGGAATCTTGAGTTGTAACTATAATCGGGAATTTTTTTATTAATGTAGTGGTAATGATGCGGCGCATCTTTCGAATAACATAACTTATTTACCTTTTTACTTGATTTACATCCGGATCCATAAATTCTGCGCCTCGAAGCTATTCTTTCCAATTTATTACAGCAATCTCAACATGAAAAACGATATTTTAAAAAGTAATAAAACTAAGGAACGGTATATGGAGACAAGGATATTGTTTAAATTTAAATTTATCATATCGAGGTCAATACAAAAAAAATGACACAAGGTGTATAGAATTTTCAAAATAATAAGTAATTTATCATAATTTTAAACTGTTGTTTGTGACTGTTTCGATATTTAATATTTACTCACCAGTATAGCTTAGTAGACCATTATCCATCATCATATAATTCATAAGCAAAAACGTTAAAACAAATTAAATGAAAGTGTACATTTAGAAACTAAACAAAGAAAAGTTGTTTGGTAGTGAGAGATTATAAACAAAATTTGTTGCCAACGAAACACATTGAAAAAGTGCTGATAAATAATTATAACATAGAACTAATATTAGGTATTTAAATAGCTGAGTTTATACTAGGATATGCCTGTATGGATAAAATTAATTATTATTGATCTAGTGTATATTTAAATAACCTTATAAAAATAATTGTTTAAAAAAATGTATATTAATTGAAGCGATAAAAGCCGAATGGTCACAAGAAACATTTGTTTAAAACAATGGGCCGTTTTTCTATTTTTGTTAGTTTTATAATTTTTCAATAATTATTATAATATCGGTATAATAAAACTTATTGGATATTTTATAACCATTTTTTTTTTTACTTTAATGTTTGATTCTCAACACCTTAATTATTACATGAGTTTCATTATTTGGGAGTGATTCACAACGAGGAGTCAAGCGAAGGATTTTTTTAGTAAGGGCCCATCGCATTTTTCTACGGTAATGGATGAGCTTATAAGTATGAGGCATACCTAAGAAGCCGACACGGATTACCCCTCGATTACATAATTACACGTAACTAGTACAGTGGCTAATATTGATAACGATGTGTTTTTTAATTGTTTTTATTTTTACTTGAATACATTCGGTACGAACACTACAACATTCAATACCGTTTTTGTGTATATGGGGGATGTAGCACGTCGCACAGATCGAGACGACCACGTCTTAGTGTCATTCGATAGATCGGTCCAAGGTACTTCAAATGTACTTTATCAGAATTGCATCACACGTGATGTTCCAACCAATATTGTCGTTTCAATAATCACAACAAGACGCATTCACTTAAATACGTCTAGACCCACGATATATCCCTTATTACTGAACCGATTTTTTCATGTAGCACGTCTAAAAATCAGTAATTGCACCTAAAATATACTTTGCCTTCAAATTCGAGAAAAAACGTTAAAAAAAATGTATATATTTTAAAACTGAAAACCACGTGGGTGAAATTCAGCATACCTTGTGGTATTAATATTATTATTGGTATTAATATTCGAATAGTAATCGAATAATTCGAATAGTAATCAAATAATTCGAATATTCAAATTTTTGAATGAAAAAACTAAAAGGAACTTCTTAATCTAAGCGGTAATATTTATTTTGTCAAATTTATGTTTTTTTGTAATTATATATCTACATAAATTGTTAAAATCTTATTTGTTGTAATAATATTTATTTTGTCAAAAGAATAATTCGTTATAATTATATTTATTTTGTTAAAAAATTATTAAAAATAGATCAAGGACACCTTAGTTGTCTCTTAATTATTTTTTTTTAATCTAATTAATCCTGCAAAGAAAATGATAAAATATTCGAACATTCGAATAATCAGATCGAATATTCGAATAACCCTTCGGATATTCGAATAAAAAATTCGAACATTCGTTATTCGAATAACGAATATTCGTGCGAATAAAGTATTCGAATATTCGAATTTTTTTTATTCGAATAGTCCCACCACTAGTACAAACTAGTGACTTCCTATTTATTGCCGACAAAATAACTTTTAAATAAGTTAATTAAAAAAATCAGTGATACTGGTGAATGTGGCGGGTCTTATTGTTTTAGAAGACACCTACTTTTAATTTTTAATGAAAAACTTAGGGGTTAGGGGTAGTCAGGATTTTCAAAAATTCGATTTTTTTATTTGTATTTTCTTTAAGTATGATGTCTCGAAAATATTATCTGAAAATTTCAAGTTAATCAAAGGAATAGATGACTCGATGTAAGTAATTAAATAATTTATTTTTCTATACATAAATCGGTACTGCTGTCAAAACAAAACTAACGGCAATCAGCGAGGAGCGGTAAAGCCATTGTAGTACGGCATATTAATTTAAAAATAGATCGACTTGGTGACTGGTGTTATCGCAAAATCGTAGAATATAGCAGGTAATATCATATATCTTTGTATGTGTACTGTGTCAAACCCCAGTAATAACCGGTTGTAAATAAAATGTGGCGCCTCGGATGCCGTGATCACTATTTCAATGAAATAAAAATGGACAATTTTCAATGGAAAAATAATTAAATGTTCATGGTAAATACAATAACGACCCTCTCTCGATAACTTGCATGAACAAAATTTCAGTCACAATTAATTATTACAAATGGAATATTTGATATTACTTTTTTTGTGAACGGTGGGGGGGGGGGTCTCTTTAAATATATATTATAATTTGGCAGACACGCCGAACGAACTGTTTGCATCATATACTCGGGCAGTGTACCCGTCGTACGTTTCTTACCTGAATCACAATTTCAGTAAATGTGACTGGGATACATTCATGCTCCATGCGACCAGTGACGGGTAAACAATTTTTTTTTGTAAGACATCAAATTATTCCCAAACACAGATTTGTGGGATGACTGCTTTCTGTACAACGATATTGATTTGTGAGTGCTGGATGTTAAAAAATATAAACTATAGTTTTTGAATCGATGGAATTTCGTTTATTTTAACATCATATTTAAACACTCTATTTGTTTAATTATGTTAAAATAATGAAAATGTCAACAGAACATTACGCGGTGTATACATAGATAGGTACGGGAAAACACAGGTTCACTGCGGTTACAATACGTACATCATTCATAAAAAACAATACCATCATAAGATAATAATATAGTCTGTATAGAAATTCTCATTTTTGTCCTCATAATGTTGGGCGGGCGATAAATTAACATAAATAATTTCTGACAACTCGAGTCTTAAATACTAACAACTTTTTGTACACGATAATAATAATTATAAAAATATTTAAATTTAATTAAAAAAAAATAGTTTCAAAAGTATAAAAAATTAATTAGTAAGCGTGAAAATATAAATAACATAATAATTATATCGTTGAGAAACGATAACTTTTTTGGTTTGTTTTTTAGACATATACGCGCCTTAACCTTGTTTTATTTATTTTTTTTTTTATACGGTTTAACTTCCGCGAAAGCAATAGTGTGATGGTGTTGTGCGGGGGGGGGGGGGGTCGAGAGAGGAGGGTATTTATTCAACACTGACAGTAAGTATATAGCGTGATGCGGTTCACGTGTACGGGTTTTTGTGCTTTGGCATGCTGGATATGACGTCTTTTCTTTTCCAAACGTTCCTGGTTGGCGACGGCGACCGGTAAGATGAACATCCGGCCAGTCTTTCGCCAACGTTAGGGTCGGGCTCCATCCTCAACGGGTGTCTGGTCGGTTCGGCTGAAGTTTTCCTTTTGGGTTTTTCTAACCCCGAATTGATCTGACTGGGTTTTCTGGATTTCGAAGCCGCTTGCTTGAGCAGAATGTGCTCAATGTCTGCTGTTTTCGACCGCAACACGGATCCGCCTATACTGGATATACTTGAACACCCTTTGGAGGCGTCCTAAACATCAAATTCAAACAGGAAATCGTGTTAAAAATAAAACGTGAGTGTAGTAGGGGATTAATTGTCTATTTTCTTTTACCCAGTAGAAATAATCGAGCATAACTTCTCTAAACCCATAATTAAACACAGTAATAAGACATTAACTTTTATAACTTTCCACACAACATAGTACACATTTTTACCTTCAAAGTACCTTTTGAATAGTGATCGATTAATATGCTACTCATACTGAAAGTATTGTGTGAAAGTTATTTTTATAAAATATCTAAAAAAAGTAATTAGTAGAACTTTGTCTCTTATTTAAAACGTCTTTATCGAGTTATTTTTATAGCTTATTTTAAAATAACTTTTATAATCGAGGTGCAATGGTAGTCAGTACCAACTTCACCATAAGGTGAGAACATACGTTTAACGTATCAAACCCAATAATTGTGTAACTCTAATTGTGAAATCACTCTACTAAGTATAATGTAATGTCATACGATAAACCAGTAAATAATTGGAACTTTTATTTAAAATGAAAAATTCTTATAAAAACTGGTAAAATTGAAATTATTGCAGAAGTTCTACAACTGTTTCGAATCCTTAAAGCGTAGATAGATATATCATACTAACAGGTGACAGTGTAGATATATCTTCGTGGCCGTGTTTGAATTTCTCTTTGTACAGCGGAGTCTTGGGTACACCAGTGGCACTGGCACTTTTCGACAATCTATCCAGCCCGGTGCTGGATAAAATCTTCTGGTAAAACTTGATGTCTTTCTCTTTGACTTTTTTGTCGGCTTTCAAGTGGTCGGCCTCCATGTCTTTTGCCGGTGCGTCTTTAGCCGTAGGGGACGTGTTAGACTTGTCATCTAGTTTGGCAGTTCGTTTGTGATACTCGGCGCCAACGTTGTCGGGTGAAGTCGGCGGACTAGACACTGAACTACTTTCCGATGACACTGCGGACGCTGTCGAACGTTGATGATTCGCCGCAGAACCTATAATAATTATCGCAATTAGATATTACAAACGTTATGAAAGGAGTACAAAAAAAATCATCCAAATTACAATCCACAATAGTCGCGTTACAGTGTTTACATTTTACCTAGATAACTATTGAATGCACTCACTATTATTTTGTCTGCTCTCGTCCTCGATAAACGGTATATCGGTGTCCTCGACGTTCAACGATTGAGACGGCAAATGCTTTACGGGCACCGGTATCATCAGACTGCCAGTAATCACTCCATCGTCATTGTTTGCCTAAATCAAAACTAACAATATTGTCATCATATTATGTTTGGGGCGGAAAACAAATAAGCCTATTAGAATATTCGCGTCGGCGTTCCCTGTTAAAATGGACGTTTATATAAATAACCTTTTTCGAGGTTTTCATTTCTATTAAGTACTGTAATATAATATGTTGTTAGCTGTTATGATTATATTTGTCAAATCATACTTGGTCCCCGTTGGATTGCGACTGGCCGCTTGGTTGCTCTTCGGATTTCTTGTTAACGTGCATTCGTTCGAAAACCGGATAAGTGAACGACTCGACGTCATCAGGAAAAAACGCTTTGCTCCGACCCCTTCGCGTTTCTCGTTCTCTAGACCTGGAACACATATTATATCAATATTGAACTGCAATGTATGCACTTTATATTGTAACGGGTTGACTATTTGCCGCCCATTCGTTGTATTAACTATTATACCGCTGAATCGTACCGGTTTGCTGGATAACTAAAATGCAAGCTTATAGGAATTTCAAATTTTAAACGACTTGTCGGTTTAGGTCCTTTTTTCTTACTTGTATCTATACTCGTCAGTGTCGTCAGGTCCACCGATTCCAGCGTTCCGATGCGTAAATTCTCCACGAGTCCATACTTTTTTCCCTTGAGCGTCCCCGAGTCTGGTCGATTCTAAATCTGGCGAAACGCTACCTTCGTCTTTTGCCGGCACGTTCAACAACGAATCCTGATTAGAGCCATTCCTGACAACAATCAAATTTCAAGTTACACGTGGACAGAGCAAATTGTACAGGTGGACGGCAGCCAAAATAGTAACAGATCCAGTTAATTACACTAGTCGTAGGTTTGCGATAAAGTTTGTAGGTGGCACACGGTTCGACAAAAATTAGACCTACTCATTTTCGACCAATTCCATTTAAACACTTAACCAATAATAAAATATTTGGCAACCAAATATTAAAAATAATATACATATTATATGTAGGTATATATAATTTGTATATTTTATGAAATTATTTATTGTGGTGTATAATAATTGTTATAATTGTAATTCCGTGTATTCTATATCTTAATTTTAGCCTTACGTATGATCCCTACAAACTTTTTAGATAATTTAAGTAATAATAATACTATATAATATATTCAATAAAACCTGATAGGAAATATTTTTTCACTGGTCAATATAGACAGTGATATTTCTAAATAACAACAAAAGCTTATTGGTTATACATAAATATTACTATTTAGTACCCACACTATAATTCGATTGGTACATAATTTTAGTGTAATGATGATATTGATGTTAAATGCTAATATCTTAAAAAACTTATTTTGGCGCTAAGATAATGATAATTCGTACAACATGTGATAAAATGATTTGTTTTTATTTTTTTTTGTTTTTGGACCCACGATACTTTCTAAGCCACAGGCAATTTATTCATGCGGCCAGTTTATAGGTATAAATCGTACCTAGAAGGTACTTTATAGGGCCAAAATGTAACAATTTCACCACATCCTATTCAAAATTGAGAAAACCAAAAATGTACTTATTTTTCAATTTAAAATGATGACGCGCTATACCTATTTTAAACATATTCGAATTAGTTCCAAATTTGTATAGAATATTCTTAAGAAGTGTTATCAGAATACGTTGACAAACTAAAACAATATCAAAACCCCTTTTCTCAAAAAGGGGTGGAAATTTTCCTTTATTTCTCTTTTTCAATGGAAGTTTTATAACTGAAATGTCTAAAAAGTAGCCTGAAGGTAAATCTATAGTAGACTTATAACATATACAATTTTCTCAAAAATCTGTATTTAAACTTTTTTTACCGAAAAAAGAGGAAAATTACACTTTGACCATAGTTAATTACTAGGTTGCATTATGAAAGTGAACAGACAACATGACATCAAATATAGTTTCATTTAATTATGTTGTTAATTACAGTAAATGGGAAACAACAGCTACAAATTGTTAAAGACATAAGATCGACTCTAATCGTGTTTAACTTATAAAAAAAAAAAAAAATGTAAACACATTATTCACATAATAATACTTTTATTGATATTTTGTACTTCTACCATATACACATTTGCATTGAGGGGTTTTTTATTTGTAAGTGATTTCATCACTTTCAGTTATAAAAATTCTACTAGACCTGTGACCTCCCCTGTCTCAAATGCTCCACCCCTTCTATGAGACGGTCCCACTATACTGTCTTTTTATTATTGGTTTAGTGTTTTAATAGAATTTACCGAAAATGATGCTGGTTGATAAGGTGTAGGTTTATTTTCGCCAAATATTTTTCCGTTTTTATAGATTTGAAAAAATTGCCTTTCATACGCAGTGCTGCTTTTAAGAAAAAAAAGCTCAATTTGATTATTAAAAAATAATTTTTTGATATTTCCTCCAAATTCCTAAAACTATTAATTAGTTTACAAAAATTTGTTTATGTATACAAAAATCGAGTATTTAAGAATTAAGATTTGCATAAATTGTTTGTTCCGAACAAGGCTAAATCGTATCTTTAAATATAATACTTAAGAGGCATTTATCTTGGTATTGTATTCGTTTCTCGTAACATTATGAAACCGACTATGTATTCCCCATGTCCCCTCGCACAAGCTTCGATTATTTGGGAGGTAGGTTATATTTTAAAATGACAATGGGAAAAACCTAATACTTGTGACATAAATATATATAAGTAAATTTATTTTTGTAGATGGGTCTCTAGTAAGTAAGTATATATTAAATTTCCAGTTACATAGTGTAACTTTTAATACATGTAATAACTAATTTGAATTACTGGATATTTTTTTCGATGAATGAAAATCGCAATCTCATCACATTGTCTAAAGCTTCAGGATTCGTGTCTGCCATTTGAACGTACACCTCATCAAGGAGTTCAGCGGGCACCTTAAAAAATAAATTTACTTAAGAATGTTACTGATTTAATAAAAGAACATAATACGTGTTTTAGCGTAATATCATTAAACATTTTTTTTAATTTTAAGCGAATATATTTTATTTAAATACTTAATCTGCCTGTTTTAATATTATTTCTTTATTCGTGCCTACCTTAAACAAATATTCGTGGTTTTCAATCAAAGACGTAACTACGTCGATAGCTAGTCTCCTTTCCATTGTCATTTCTTCACTCAAGTCATTTGGACTGATCTCCTTGATAGATTTGTGAAGAATGTTTGGCGCAAATAATGTAGCCAAGTTGCTAGCGTCCATTTTATTGCCTTCGACCAAATGTCCTGATACAATAATAATAATCGTCATGCAGTTATGCTGAATAATATATTGTTTTAAAATCTATTTTTAACTTTGATAGCGGAACGATGTCTTTTGTGAACTTGTAAACAATACGTATTTAAAAGAACAACATCAAGCAGAGAAGTTTGTCTGCATATGAAAAAACTACTAGTGATCAAGTAGGGCTTCTAGAGGTATATCTAGTTTCTGTTTGTTGTTTAAATGTTTAACATTGAATTGAAATGAAAATACTTGTATCTTATAAAACACATTGCTTATACAGGGTGGGGCGGAGCCGACTGACGAGTTTTGAGGGGCTATAAATAACGAACAGTAAAACTTAGAGATAAGCGGTTTGTTTTATTCAAATTATTAACAAGTACCGTTTTTTGGGTTAAGTTTTAAAAATTACATCCCCAAGATGGCGACTGCCAGCAGCAATACATTGTTGCAGGCGTTTTTAGCGTCTTGTTGTTACCACACATCTCTTAAGTCATGATCTTCAGCCATTTCCTCCAACTTGTGCTGCAGATAAGTTGTCAACATTAAAACATACCGAGTGGAAGTGACTGTGACGGTCCTGTTCTCCTCCTCAAAAAGTACGGGCCGATCACTCCATGTTGGGATACAGCACACCACACTGTCACTTTAGGAGAATGGAGGGCATTTCCCGTGGGTTAGTTTCAGCCCAGTAGCGAAAGTTCTGCTTGTTTACAGCCCCAGAAAGATGGAAATGGGCCTCATCGCTACAAAAAAAAGTTGCTGTCGAAACGTGCCGAAAAGCTCACGAAAACTTCCAAAAACGCCTGCAACAATGTATTGCTGCTGACGGTCGCCATCTTGGGGATGTAATTTTTAAAACTTAACCCAAAAAAAACGGTATTTGTTAATAATTTGAATAAAACAAACCGCTTATCTCTAAGTTTTACTGTTCGTTATTTATAGCCCCTCAAAACTCGTCAGTCGGCTCCGCCCCACCCTGCAATAGATGATACGGCTACACTAGACTCTTACCGCAAGAATCCTTCGTGTCTTCGGAGTATTTAGCCATATTGCTGAGGAACATAAGTAAGACGTGGAGTGTATTGCGGTTTGCTACTGGTAACAGTTGAATTAGGTGTTTTATCGCATCCAACTGTAATTTCCTGTTACGGATTTCTGTGGGAAGCACAATAGGACGTTAGTGGAGTATTGCAACCGATCAACTAACGGCAGTATTTTACTTTGAGTTTGAATGAAACATTGGTATAGATCGTTGCACAGAAGCGAGTCGGGCAACGCTCTAAAGTATTCTTTTAACAGTGTGGCCACATCGTGCACGTGGTCCTCGGTTTTAGACAGTATGCTCTCTAAAGATTTTCCATGGTCGAAATCTTCTCGAAGCTGCAATGAAGTCACATTACAATGTTATCGTCAAACGCCACACCAAAGACAATACGTTAATATTATGTTAATGTTGACATATTATATCGACACGGTCTCGAAGCGTACCTGTCTCAAACGTTTTTTCGAACTGCTTATCCGGAATACTCCTACTTTGTGTAGTCCGTAATCTTCTAAGTAATTCAAACACGATGTGACGAAACTAGGCACCCCGTGGTTGCTAATAGGTTTACTGTAAGTATTGTCCTGGTCATAAGACAATGTGTTCGAATTGGAACTTGTAGTAAAAGTCTTGATTAACTCGCTGACGGGCGGATTTGCTGTGGAGTCACAGGAATGAGATCGCTAAAAAACATACAATAGTCGACATTTTAGAAGATACGGTTATGGATTATAATAAATGATATAGTTTCATTTTATATACCTAATATCAAGATGTTATCATTAGTCTAACCTTCATGGCACATACTTGAGGAACATGTAGTAACCATATATAAAAATGAGTAAACGCTAATTACAAAAAATTATTTCAACATGGATATGTTATTGGGATGGGGTCAATCGGAAAATCTGTGAGTCACGCTGAACGTTCATGAGTATATATATATATATATATATATATATATATATATATAGTTCAAAGATAAAAATAGAGATAATAGATTAGAGATAAAAATAGAAATAATAGATTAAAGATAAGAGATTAGATACTGAACGTTACTGAGGAAAATGTGTGGCGTGATCTAGCGGTCAAGCTTAAGATTACGTACATTTTTACATTTTTTGTGGGCAAAATCCAAAAACATCTTACTTAAATTTTCAGTATACATATAATTGACCTCATAAAAAAATCATGGTGGTTGTACGGACCGTAATGCTATAACATATCCATGATTCAATGTTTTTCCGGGGAGCAGAGAAAATAACTAGGTTTTTTTTCGAAATAAATAATAGTGAATTTTTACACCATAAAAAAAAGTAAATTAATATTTCATTTATTATGTATATATATCTATGTTTTTGTTTATTCAAAAATCTCAACGAGGATAATTATTAACTTTTTAATTATGGTTCAATCTAATATTAATTTGAGGTTAAAGAAAATACAGAAATTATAATTATTGGAATAAATAGCAATAGCATAAAGCGATACACGATCAACAATACCAAGTCAATAAAATTGTATCAATATTTGGAGTAATTTAAGTTTCCCATAAACCAGTTAATATCTTCAGCGCTAACGATAGACTGATCTAACCCAACCAAGAGTCTGTCGTTAGCGCTGAAGATGACAACATTGTTGCCTAAATACGCATAGAGTGTATTATTTGTATGGTTTATTTTAGTATAAATTTCTTTAACAAATTAAACACGTTTATGTAGAGGTCTGCACAATGTTACATATATCCAAAAACCGTTTAATAAATAGATAAATCAAATTATAAATATCGGCAATAACTAAAAAAAACATGTTATAATATTATTTTCTTATAATTAGTAATTCACTTTAGTACGAATATTTTTTGAAGAAAATAAATTATTGATAGTAAGTTATAATGCTTTAATAGAGGTGCAATATTTTCTAATATGGAACTAGTTCTACATGACTGATACAACCACTCTCGGATCTTCTACCTAGGACCTCCTTAAGTGAATTAATTCAAATTAGATGTAATAGATAAGGACACCACTGTGTATGTTTTAATACCTAAAAGTCCTCGTGTATAACACTACTTGAACCCTAGATTTATTTGGAAGTTGATGGATCTAACTCGAATAGAGTTTGTTGAATATGTTATAATATTGCTTTAAATACCTCACTGGGATCTTTTAGAACTTCGATGTAACTCGAAAAGCTACTCCGTGCTCGAGGCGATTTTGGCACATATTGCGCCTCAGCTGGGACCTTTAAGTGAGATCTTGACGAACGTTCTTGCTCTACACAATCATTTAGCGAAACGCCAAATATTGTTTGTGGATATAGGCTTTCTGAAAAAACAGTTTGTTTTGTCAAAATAATATAATTCTTATACAACGTTTATACATTTAATTGCATATTTATGTTCGTTAAAAAAAGACAATTTATTATGTGCTTAAGTACACATTATAAATTGTTATTTTTTGTCATTTTACAACATGGTGACTGTGCGTTAATGTAATTTAAAGTTCAAAAATAAATAAACATGTTATTTGTGAATGTGATTTAAAAGAATGACTAATAATAGATGGTAGGTAGCGTTGGATGTGTTTGTATCTTTGACGCTAGCTATGCGGCGCAATTAACAGTAGATTAAGTCAGAATCCAAATTTATGTTCTTCTTCGTTATTTTGTTCGTACATTATGTTTTATTAAATACTAAATAAAACATTTAATATATTATAAATAGAAATATTATTGATCATGACCACCTTTTGTTTTTCTTCTTACTAGCTCTAATCCCTAATAGCAACAAAATAATGAAAGTTGTGGGGTGGTCTAAAGCGACTAAAACTAAAACTTTAATGAGAATTTAGTTTATCGAAATTTGAACTCTTTTTTAACAAAATACAAAAAAGTATAATCAGCACGACTTTTTACAGTTTGAAGTTCAGTTCTTACCAGTAGATTTATCGAAATTGTTGGCCAAAAAAACACTAAAAATGTACTCTGTTAAACTACAATCTCAATGTGTTGTGTAAATTGCCTAGTATATATATATATATTAATATTAATATTTATAATAAGATGCAAAGGTACTAGGATTATTTCCTTACACGAGTTACGACAGCGGACAGCCTCATTTTAGTTAAAAAGTATTTTAAACTGTGATTACAACGATACAAATCGGAACCAGATATAATGAACCAACTTCACATTTATATTTGTACTAATTTTATTTCTAATGGTAATTGTTACAATACAATTAAAATTAAATATATTATGTACCAATTGATTAAGTTACGTAAAATGTAATGACCTATTTGTAACGACCTTTTTGGAAATTAAAATGATCCTAGTCGCTAAAAAAAAAATACAAGTTTAACATTAGATGTCCAAGGTCATGTGGTAAACATGCTAAATACGACATGTATACATTTTTTTTTATAGAAATTAGGTATATAAATGTATTTTGAAAACGTTACGTTAATCATGTCACGTTAATCAAAGTGTATTCTATTATTGTGCACACTTATAAATAAACTGTACGATCAAAAGCTTTTGCAAAATGTATAAATGCAATGGAAATTTCAAATTCCCTTTGAACTTGTATGACTTAGGAATATTTTTTTTCAAAACTAATAAACATTATTCGAGGACTGTTTATGAACATAATAAAAAAATAACTACGCTGGTACTGTATTTCTGTGATTTTATGTAATCGATAATAATTAATAACATACCATTACCATTATTGAAGATTATAGATGTTAATTATAATTTGATTGAAACTAGAACCCGAAATCGTGTTCCTATTTAAGCAACCCTATATATTGTTTGACTAAGTGAAAACAGCAGATCATAATTTTATATTTTCCCAGAGAGAGACAGAAAATATGCAGCAAAAAGAAGGTATTTTTTAATCAGTATCTGTTAATCAAATACGTTAATATACTTTTGAGTTTTGAATACATACAAATTCAGAGTGTCTATTTTTTACGCCAAATACATTAACTCACTATATTTGCACCGGATATGTTTAGACGAATACAGTCATGCAGCGTACAAAACATATCCACAGAGCTTTAAAGGCTTAAGTTATTATATCGCTTAGTTGCCATCATTATGCATTTATTTTTGACTCAATGTTCCAAAATATCATCCTCTAAAGTTTTACGAATCCGCCGGTTTTCATTGTCACGGCTACAATATACGTAAATTGTATAAACTAGGCCGAGAAAAAAATAATAATCGTTAAAAATAAACAACCTAGATTTCCCAAGATTTTTTATGCTCCCCTGGATACAAAACCGTGGGATTGACAGAGAAGTCCGTAGAAACGTCACAGAATGCACAAGTGTACATAATGTAATGACGATTTAATATCTTGTCATAACCTTTGCCAAAAAAAAAAGAGTTAAATTTAACTTATTTCGCCTGAAAAAACACCCATACTACTCGTGGAATACTATCACACATAACGCAAATACCAATTATTATTATTATTATTTTTTTAGTAAAATCGTGTTTTTGTTAATGTGCCTATAAATATAGTTGGATTAATATAAGTCGCCTCTGTAGTTGTACCTCTTTACTTGTGATAGACTAGCTTAAGGGGGATTTACCACGATGTTCATACATTTTATTTTTATATGCATATCTGCAATATTTATATAGGCCTAAATAAATTGGGATTTTTGTTTTATAGTCCAAACAAAAATGTGTTCTCGTATAACTTATTAGAACTAGTAAAATCCAATATGCATTTATGATTATTATTATAATTAACTTTTTATATTAAGACATGCAATTCAAATATAATAAATAGTTTTTAAATTTTTTATAATTAGGAAATTGTACTGTTAAATTTTAAAATTACTTTAAATTTTCCGGTTTCGTCCTGGATCCTAGTATGTTTTCATTAATTAAAAAATGAAACCTGATGTTAATCCATTCGACTGACAATAATATTATAAAACAATAGAAAAAAAGCTATATTAGTGTAATGATTAATGATGTTAGACCTGATACAAAATACAAGAGTAAAGTGTTTATAGATGATTTAATACTACTTAAAAAAGGTAGAATTGAATGAATTTCTACCAACTTTATGGATATTTAAAAAAAAATACAATAATTATAATTAATTTTTAAAAATGCGTTGCTCAGTGAATATACGTTGTTTTATAGTCACTCCCAATAAGTTATCCTAGCAGAATAATTCCTGGGATTTTTATAAATATATTAGCAAAGGATTACTCAGAATTAGTGTTAACATTATTAATAATTAATAATTATTAAAATAATATTATTTGTGTTTTACCCATACCATAATATTAAAACTAGATAATCTTTTTAAATTATGCTAGATAAGCCCCTTCCCCCAAATAAGCAGAACTTATGTATGTATAAGGTGGGAAAAGAGGTTGCTTAACAGTGTACAGGAATCGAACTATATAATTTTAGTCAGAGTAGACGAAATTGTATTTTATTTTCTAATAACTTTCAAATAATTATTTTTTTATTCATTTGAAAAAAAGTAACAGAATTATTCGATTGCATTTTTTCGAATAATGCCTAAATCTACCTTTAGAACACCAAGATTTACACTTTATACTACTTGTATTAAAAGTGATTTCTAAAACATAAATAAATAATTGTTGAGGAGGCGAGCCAGAGATTAAACATATATATTCGCCAACCTGAGATTTTAGGTATATTTGATCACTGAAATTCAATTATTTATAAGTTTTATTAATTATTTTATAAGTTTATTAGTTTATCCAATCATGTAACTTTACTGCTTAAAATGGATTTAAAAATAATATACTACTAAAAATGTAAATAAGTCTCACTAATTTGAGTAGTAAAATATACAATTGTTCATAATATTTCAAATAGGTTATTGAACATACCATACTAGACACGACTAAACCACTATTAAATAATAATAAAATAATTGTATAAACAAAAATACATTTAGTGTCTACATTGTTAAAAACAAACTAGAGCATTTATGTTAGTTAAGCAAACATGGAATGAAGCTATGTATAATGAAACTTATAAATAATGTTAGGTAGTACCTAGTTTTGTTTTAAACGTACTCATGTGTGAGTTTAAATTTAAAAAATGTATATATAAGTATTAAGTAGTTACCATTCTCATCTTTATCTTTTAAATTGCCAGTGGTATTCGCTCTCCTTTTCAAAAGATATGGCCTTCGTTTCTTCGGACCGGAAAGCACGTTTCCTAAAAATGAAAATTACAATAAAATAGTTCTTCATTATTTTACAAAACTCTATGCAAAAAAAAAATTGGGTTAGTGATCAAAATCATGGATTATTCCACGATTATCAACAATCATATTTATTGCATCGTCTATTGACTATTAGTTATAAAATCCGATTCGTTTTAGGTTATTTATCCTAACATATTACTACATTTTTATGAAACAATTTATTTTAAAGCAAATGCTCAAGTAAGCACGTTATACTATAACGATTTATAAATCAATGAAGGTTTTGAGTTTCATTTACAGAAATTACTTATTACTATACAGACAGTGTGTTATAGTATTATGTGCACACACATAAGTTATACCTATGTGCATCTTGCACATGTGACGTGATCATCTTGTCACTTTTTATTATGGAATAAGTATAAGGAACGCTGTTTTAAAAATAATAATTGAATAAATTGATATGCTTGAGTAAATTAAATTATAGCTTATAATGTTTGTAATAGACAAGAGCAGTTTCTAAATGCAACACCTCTGTTATAATTATGACCAACTGAATACATTGAAGAACTACTAGCTGGCCGGTATTCAATTTAGTTGTTGTTTATTTTTCTACTATTTTTCTACATATTACATACATAAAACTGTTAGTGAATGTTTTTCCCCTAATAAATTCTGCAATTTCGCTATGGTTTTATGCAAATTTAATAGAGGCACAAAAAACAAAAATTAACGGGTATAAAAACACGTGTTTTCAAAAGTCACCTAGATTTTTATTAATAGAAAACAATTCAACGATAACGTATACATCTACTTGTTAAAATAAGAATAATCTGCTGAAAATTTTGACTGGTCGAAAACTATCACAATTGAACCTATTTAATATAGGATTCGTGTTAAATATTAATAAACTGTTAAAAAAAAAAAAATGTGTTCGATTCAACAACTCGTAGGTAAATATTCAAATCAATTTTTAATTTCTTATTTTAATTTTAAGTAGTATATTAAATAAAAAATTATATTCTTTAACTTAAAATATGTGTATATTTGACCACTGTGGTGTGGTTGAGTAAAGGGAGCAGATAAACATATTACTACGTGCCACTATTTCTCCCGTCTTAAACTTTAATAACTTTAAAAGCAATTATTCAAAACACATTATCGAACAGTCAACATTTTCAGCGGATTAAATATTTAATAAATGTTACGTTAGATATTTGGTAATCTTATATTATTGTAAAATAAAATAAATACAAATGTTTTCAAAAAGAAAAACCACAAAATTGTATTTTTGTGTCATACGTTAAACGGATCAATATACAGGATATTTAGATGAATTCCACATTACCTGTAGGGATTCTCAAAGGAGCTCCAAGATTTATTTCTTGAAGCTTGTTTAAAGCAACGTACGATAGTATTTCCTTTTCAAGGTCAGTAAGATCCAGAAGCGACAAGTCCTAAAATGAACAAAAAATAAAGTATATATTGCAACCGTTTATACAAATAGCTATGTATTGAAATTATTCTTACTTTAAGTAAGATGGATTTTCCACTAGCATGCAACCATAAACAGTTACCCTAAAAATAAAATACACGTATAAATATCATGAGGGAAAACAAAATATGCAAAATTATTAGTCAATTACAGTCAATGCACAATTAACACACATAGTAGAAATATGCTAGAATATAAATAATAGGGTATGTGTGTGTATTACCTATGTTTTGTAATTTTATGTTTGTTGTAATATTATATGATTCTTTATTATATTTACTTACTACTATGTAGTTCATTATTTGTATTTTATGCATTGAACTATTTTAAAACTTTGTTGTGCCCAATTATTTGTAGAAACTCGAAAACTGTATTTAAAAAATATATATTTATATGTATAACTTGTACAGAGTTAAGGCGACTAATAATATCCACAACTGAAGCTTAAGGTATCATTATTTTTACGGTTTTAAAATACAGGCAAGCTTTTTTTATGGTGTAAAAGACCAATAGTCATTTAGTTAATCGTTATTTAACTATTTCCGATAGTGAATTATTGAATTCAGTTGATATCATAAAATTGTATACTTCAAAATAAAATACCATTCAATATCGACGTTAAAATCGATAACTATATGTAGAAAAAATAACTAACAGAAAACATGTTGCCTTTCACTAAATGGTGTCGTATATTTTTAAAAATACAAAACACATAAAACCTAAAATCAAAGTACAGTTTTAATTTTAAAAAATAAAATAAAAAATATATATATATACAATAGCTAAAAGTATCTAAATAACTAGACATCTTTGATAGTAAGCTTTCAGCACACAAAGTAGCAATAACCCACATAATCTCTGCCGGGACTATTTAATTAGTAGAATTCACACAATATAAGTGTGAAAAAATGATAGGAAGGAAAAGGGGTTAAAATTAACTTATGGGAGACTCGTGCCAAGAATAATATTACTTTTGGCTAGTTAAATTTCCTACTAGCTACTTAAAAAATTAAACTAATAGTATAATTTTTTTATACACTTCATTAGTAATATGCTTCACGCTTATTATAATTGAAAATTCTGGAAGTACTATTGTGGAAATTGTTTTCTACTAATTTGATTAAATTTTAATTGGTAAGGGCAAGGCTGCTTATGTTAACACCTAGTTTGTACTGAACCGTAAATATTCTTTTATAAATTAGAATATCACTATAATATTTTATTTTATTAATCTATTTTAATTATAAATAGTAGATATTAGGATAAACGTGAACTGCTTAATTATATTTACATACAAATGACATAAATGAAAAGTGAAGTTAAGCATATGATATAATACTCTTTACTAATTCAACCACTCAAGAGGACCCCCTACTTATTTAAGAGTTCGGTATAGGCATTTTTTTGCAAATCATAATTTAATATATAAAATGCAATATATAATTATAACTACAGTAATTGAGACTATTTTTGGAAGTTATTTATTTTGTATGACTATCACAGCAACCTCGACGCATTTTAAATATTTTTTCATAAACATAGCTACTACCTACGCAGAATTTGTTTTCAGTCCATGGTAGTTTTAGAGCAAACACACCTGTTATGAAATTAAAAGATAATAATATTTTTAGAGGTAATGAAATATTTTCTTTTTAACATTTTTGTGGTACTTAATGTTGAACAAAGGTATTAATTCCCTTTTTCAAAACAGTGATAACTTTTCTTCTTAGAAATATTTTGGTTAAAAAAGGATATGTCTTTGTCTCAAAATGTTGTTTTATTTTATTTTGATCATAGGAGATTTTGCTTTAAAACCATTATGGGCCGATTAAAAGACATTCTGTTAATGCTTGAAATTTGGTAGGACAACTTCCTTTCAATTTTACTATTCAAATAATTAGCGTAATATTTTGTTTTGTTATTTATTATTATTATTTCAAATTTATAATAGGTTCATATTTTGTTTTATAGTATTGATATTTTTAATTCGCAGTCAAGTTTAGTATTACTATTGAATCATTGTTTTGATAATTATTTATATTAAAACTCTGAATATTTTTCCAAGGTTAAAAATACACAATATAAATAAAGTGAAATTTTTGCATGCGTTAGTCACTGACTTTGCCAAAATCTGTATACTTTAAAGTATTTTTTAAAACATATGTTTTTATAAAACTACATAAAAAATGAATTATAATAAATCTTGTTACCGAACTGAAAGTTTCTCTTGATAAATATAGGTCAACGTGTACATGATAAATAAATTGTAAACATTATATTGTAGTAGAAACTGTAAATATAAAGTGGGTAACACCAGTTTAGGGTATTATACAGCTTAGACTCAATATAAATATGTTTTGATTATTTTTAGTACATTTTACACATTTTTACTCAGGTTTTTAAACAAATATTGAAAATTAAGGACATATTGTAACGTTGCAGTGTTCTAGACAAGGTATTAATAAAAATAAAATGGTAAAATCATCGCCTGACTTGATATAATATGATTTCATTGAATTTTGTTGGTAAATAGAATTTCAAGTATTAATATTTTTAACAAATCTGTTCAAAGTAAATATACATAAAATTCTTAATTTTAGCTTTGCGCGCACGCCAACGATTTACTCTTATAACCGTAGCCTTTTAAACTATAATAAATAAATAAATAACCGTGCCAAAAGTAAATAATAAAATCAAAACATATTTTAGAAAATAAATTAGTTTAATAAAATACTAAAAAAAACCGCTTCGATGTGAAACTGTAGATGTAAAAACTATTAGGTATAAATATAAATTAATTTTTAGGCAGTAAAAGCTTTTAATAAACGTGTATTTTAGTGTTTGAGTTTTTTTTCAGTAAAAAAACTTGACTATGGATATTTGAAATTTAGAAAAAAAACTTTTTAAGTTGACATTATCTACTGTACTTTGATGCGGAGCTGAGAAGGTAATTTTTTCAATTATGTGTTTTTGTATCTGAACCCATTATATGTATTAGAAATAGGCTGATAGCTACTTACTTTATTGTACCACAAAATTGAAAAAGTCGATCCCTTCTTGTTCAAAATCGAAAAAAAAACACTTAAAATGCTTATATATTTTTCAACTTAAAATTTCGGCGCACCAAAACTTTTTAAAAAATAATTAAATTAGTTCTAAATTGAAATATACTTTAAGCATAGTATTATCAATATACTTTGAAAAACCAAAAACGTATCAAAACCACTTTTCCTTAAAAAGGGTGGAAATTAGTTTTTTTCACTCTTTTATATGAAGTTTAAGGCCTGGATATTAGCCTCAATGTAGATCTTAAGAATGGCTCTAATATGTTTGCTTAAAAATCTATAGTTAAACTTCATATTATTATTATAGAAAACCAAATAAATGTGGAAAAATTCACTTTGATCGTAATAAATTTCTAGATTGCTATGTTTGAGTTAAAAAACAGTTAATAGGTATCGGAAAAATACTTTCATAATGTTGTTGATTCGCTTATTAGTAACAATGATAACGAATTTTTAGGGAAGCTAGACGATGAACCTAAATCATATCCATTCTAATACTAAAAATACATTTTTAACACATTTTTGTCTTTCCAATTATCGATGTTTGTAATTTAACCATACGCATCGAAGCTTTTATTTTAAAGTGGTTTATCATCCCAATATGCTTTAACCCCATTATCCCTATTATGTCCCTACCCCACTGTGCTGGATTTTTTTTATTTAGAAGTTTAAAAAATAAAAACCGAAATAAGGATATATCAACAGGTATAATTCGTGAAGTTATACATGTAATGGTTTAAAAAAAAAAGTATAGCGGAGACAGCGAATCTGTTAATATTATAAAATTAAACTATCGATAAAAATCATTAGGAAGGTAATAATGTGCTTACAATTTTATTTTTAGTGTAAGGGTAAGTCTAATTTTAAGACCTCTAGTCTCAAAACTATGCTCAAAAAAATTCCACCTCTTCTAGGGATAAGGGTTTTTGATATTTTGTTTGTCGAATATATCTCTAACGCTTAACTACTTAATTTTCACACTATTTGCGTTAACAAAATCGCATGCCGCTAATGTAATTTCTATAAGACTTTGTTTACATTTTATTGACACAAACAATTTTGTTATAATACACATTTGTTTTTCTAGTTTTAACCTATTTTTTTATCAAAAGGTTTACTTATTGATTTTAACATTTTGTTTTATAAATGTATAAATACAACGTTTATCTTTTTTGATTATTGTCAATTTCATCAGTCCATGGACATCAAATTGAATTCATCTACATTAGGAAGATCTCATTACGAATTAGTATATTGTATACATATGTATTTTTCGTTATGTTTGAGTATAATTTATTATGAACATATTAAGTACAGCAAACGAAAAGATGAAAATGCCACTGCGGTTTTTTTTATATTAGAAATATCCCTTCTGATAAACATATTCCGTTGTTTTATAAAAAAAAAACTATTAGGAAATATTACATAATACTTGCAAATATAACATTTTCTCCTATACAAAACAAATATTGCACCAAGTATTGTTCGTATAAATCATCAAATATGAATTAGCGTTTTTGTAATTTAAGAATAATAATACTGGTTATAGTTAATATTAATTTATTCTGCTTACTAGTGGAGCCCATGGCGAAGAAACTGTATTAGCCCTTGTCTGACTCTTTGAACGTCCTTTCCATATTCTTTTGGACATAAACCCCTGCTGAACATTGGTTGAAGATCTTGATTTCTGCATTCCGGGGGCTGTAACATGTTACCACATTGTTATTTGACAATGAACGTAGTGTTTTTAAAATATCCTAAATATCTTAGCGGATAAGTCATGCGTTACACAATATTAATATATTTTAATAAATAATAAACTACTTAGTTCAAGGAATTTTAGCGCTTTTAACATATCGTAGTCAAGTTAAATATAATATTTAATAAAAATGGAATACATTTTATAACAGAAAATGTCTTACGAATTCTATTTGTTGTATCGACTTATACCTAATCTTGAGAATTTTTCCTACGGTGTAATTATTTAACGAATTTAGATTATTACTCCTGAAAAAAACCATATTATACTCTAATGTTTTCGACATTGTCAACTATTGTGGAGTACCTTGTCATAGAATAAACGAGCTATGTATATATATATATATTATTGTACATAATCTAATGCTATTAGCTCGACAATTTGGTTCATGTGTTGAAACAAAGACAAATATAGCTTACATACAACTCCGTTATGGTTAGGATACAAAACGTCGGGGTTTTCATTTCTATAGTGTGCATTACCGTTGAGGGATTTCGGCGGAGACAAAGGTGGCGATAACAGTTCTTCTCCGCTAAAAGTAGTGCCGGTGTCGATGCTGCTCCTGGAACTGGTCATTCTAGATCCTGAGTTGTCATCGATGGTTTTTAAAACGGATAACCACGAATCGTCAGTTTGTATAGATCTATTGATGTCGTCACCCTCGCATATGTCTGGTTCTCCTTTTCCTTTTATGTTCCTTATGTTCCTATCGTAGTTGACCCTTTTGAATCTGTCAATCTTGTCGGAATCGACGCTTTTCTTCCTGGCCATTCTCAGGTATCGTTTAATGGTGTCGCTCACCGACGGTGATATGTCGTCGTTGTCGACGCTAGTTTTTCGTTGAAGGACTTTGGAAGGCGCCTTTGACGAGTTATCGACGACTTCGGCTAGACCGTCTGACTTCCTGCGGTTTTCCTCTTCGATCAGCCCCAGCACTCCCGGCTCTAAGGGCATCGTTTGCACGCCCACGTCCACGTATTTGTCTTCAACATCTTCGATTTCGATGACAGGCGGTGGAGACGACAGATAACCGATATTTTTGTTGGGCAAGAACAAATTTCTTTGTTTATCGTTGTAAAGTTTTAAGTATTCGCTAGTGGACGCGTTTATCCGGTCGTCGGACGACCGTTGATTGTCTTTCCAAGTTGAATTCAGTGAGTTCAAAGAGCCCAGCCCTATATTTGACGACGAACCTATCATCCTCCTACCCAGAAATCCTCTGGTTTTTCGTAATTCGAAGTACAAGTTTTCCAATAGCTTTCGGTCCATGAGTATGTCACCGATAATTTTTTCTCTGTTGGTAGATCGCGCATAGTATCTCCTTAGAGTTTCCAGTAAGTTTTTTTGCGTGTTATCACTGTCTAATATATAGGACCGTAAGGATTTCTTACTGTCCGACCCGCGGTAGCTGTCCGGCATTTCTTCTGCTTTCGATATATAATCTTCGAGCTTCTCCAATAGTTTCTCGTGGTCCAGTGGTGGTCCTTCGGGCGGCGACGCTTCCCCGGCCGGATTCCTTATATAATCGTTGATGATTTGCACCAAGTCGGATTGGGATTCGGCCGAAGATTTCCCATCACTCGCGTTTGAGTTATCGTTCTGCTCAGCGGCTCCAAACAGAAATTCTTTTCTCATCTGTTCTAATTCATATCGGCCGGCAGGTTTAGGGTGAGCCAGGAAAGTTACACTAGGCACTCGGGCAGCACCTTCGGCTTCGTCCGCGCTACTCGTGTTTTCTCGAACGCTACCGACTTTCTTTAGTCTTCCACTCCTAGGTCTGCCGCGTGACCGGAACCCTAACGCGCCCGGATACGACTGTTTTCTCCAAAGCAAAAATTTCGGTTCTTTTTGGCACACCTCTTGGAAGTAAGCCTCTATTTTGGGTACGTCTTCCGGCCTGTTGGCCACGCCTTCGGGTATCAGTTTCCTGCCGGCGTCCGCCATGTACCTCCAAGTCTTCCGCGTCAACAGCCATCGTTCGCGCTTAGAGCCCCGGGTCTTCCGATCTTTGAACGGATCCTTGTCCCAAGTCTTGACCATCACTTCGCCGCAGTCGCCTATGCTAATCCGACCGGTTTTTTTAATTTTCTTTTTTCTCGGTATCAGCTTGAAGCTGCATTTCCGAGGCTTCTCCCCGTCGCCACTGTCCGGTATCCGGGAACCGCACGGATCACCGCTCATCTTGATATCGGGAACCGCGAAAACGCACTCACGACACGACAACCGCGGCTACGAAATTGCATTAGTGTTCCGAAATATGTAATCCAATAGGCGATCGACAAAGAAATTAATTGACAAGGAAAAAAAAAAATAAAAAAATAAAAACAATTTAAATAGTACGGGTTATTCAATACTGCGGCCGGGAAATCAGTCGGGTCGATCGGTGGCGTCTAAAAATAACGAGCCGTCCGCATATGCGTAATTATACTATGTACATTTGATACAAAAATATCCTGGAATGAAATAAAAATAGGCCGCGGGCGCGTATTCGCAGGTCTCGGAGTTTCAATAGAATATTAACGATAATAAAATGCGTTGATGAAAATGAAAATGTCTCGTCGTAACCGCGACTAGCACTAGACTTCGAAAATAGCCGAGGGCATTTTCTCGGTTAGGTAAACGGCACGGCGAGACGGAGAAAAAATAGTGTAATGGCCGAGATAGAGGGGGAAGTAGTGGGAGTGAGATTGAGAAGATAACGATCGGGTGTTAGAACAACAGTGTGCCAAAATATATAACACCCACACGTTTAACCGACGCCGCCTAGCGTCACCCTGTATCACACAGCAACAGTTTATTCTACAGGGTGACCAGGCAACTTGCCCGGTTTCCAACGCGCAGACGGTAAACAAGAAATGTATACTGTCTGCCAAAACCCGTCAATTTTAAAAATTAATATTGATAGGGCATCGATATTGTATACTCTCGAAAATCTGTCGAGTGCAAAACAAGCACGTGTAACCGCGTGCATCGGTCACATATGAATCGTCTCAGTAGTAGTAGATTTATACATAATAATAAAAATATCTTATAATAATAGTTATGTTATTTCGTTTATCCATTAACATTTGTTCTTCATACATATTATATTTGTAAAACGTGACCATAATTTTTTCCCCTCAGAGCGGGACGACGCTTGTAAATTTTAATAACGTGAATTTTATTTTTCATCCACGTCCCCTGTGGCAAACACGTTTTGTCACTCGACCTTTAACACCGCTTGGCGAAAAGTGGCTGACTGTGCGTGCATAAAAAATAACCATAGTTCAACGATGGGATTTTCAAATTTGTTTAAAATTATATTCGGGCATTTATCAATGCTCAGAAAATATTTTTTTAACGGCTAAAATATTTTTAAAACTTTCCAGTACGGGCATTAACGCACGCCATCTAGTTTTACTGTAGCCCAGAAGTTTTCTATATTCTGTGTCAGCTGCATCACAGAAGTAATTAAGAGCTACAAACACAAATGTTATAAATGTAGAAAAATAAATAAATGTTCACAATTATGCACTTAATTTTAACAGGTAGACAATCTGCACCTGTTTTGACCGCATTTTGAATATGTGAGCTCTGCATACAATTCCTATGAGCGTCTTTCAAAGAGACCTGTACAGATGCGCGTTAACATTATTAAATCCTTTTCTATTTTTCCTCCAAAATTACAGTATTGTATCGTATCTACTAAATGCCACAATTTTGTATGTCAGCTTATTTTTTTGTCAATACTTGTTTCCAATCCACAATTATATCCGATAACTCGCCTGGTTGCTCTTGAAACTCTAAAATCTATACTTGTACTCCTCCGTATGGTAAAACGTGGTGGACTAAAACAGGGAATAATTTGTAGAGCCATGGTTTGAAGCATCCGTTAATAATGTTATGCAAAATTCTTAGAAGACGGTGAACTTGAAGCGGCAGCATGATCAGATAATTTGTGTTTGTCTGATCGTAAATGTTTCTCAATAGCACTAGTTACCACCATGCACACAACACTGAAATCTGTACGAAAAAAACAACTTAAAATGTAGCCAAAAGTCTAGATTATAGATGTAGTATAAACGTCGAATTCTATATTAAGTGATCAGTAGCTTATTTTTAAACAAATTATCTTCGTTTTCATATCTATTACACGAGTTTTATTTAAGGTTTAAATGAAACTTACGCTGGATTTATTACATTTTAAGGAGTCCGGAATAGTATATATTTGTTATCACAATATGTTTTGTAAGCGTTGTTGGCTAATAAAATTACAAACTGCAAATACTTCATAACTGAACACACAATAGTGACATATTATACAGATACAGGGGAACTGTCTCGATAGAAACATTTTTTTATTTAGTCAAATTGAGTTTTTATCTATGTTAAACTTAATTTTTGTAATTACTGCAATTAGCTGTGAATGGGTGGGTAAGTAATTTTATTTTAAGTTATCCTTGTGAACTGTAAAATATATGTTAAGATTTGCTTAACATATTAAAATTGTTTTAAGTTAAAAAACGGCAAAATTGGGCTAATTGAAGTAGACCTTTTTCACAAGAGTGGAAAAAAAACTTATGGTCACAATATATTTTTTCACCGTCTGCCTTGACAAGATTGACGCTACTATATGTACGTGAAGTAGCCCACATAGTATTGGAATTGTGTAAAGAAATTGTGGATTTCGAGTTACTCAGCCAAAAAACTTATTAATTTAAGCTATAAATAATTGAAGAGACAACAGTAGTGTACACTACTGACAACCGATGACTTTTATAGAGGTGCGATATTAGTTATCCATAATGGAGGGAACGGTGATAGCACGGGGAGGATAAAAATAATCTAAACGGTCTATTTTTGAAATGATAAAATGAAAACCAACACAATAGAGAAAACAACACAGATGTACTCCTCATATACTTATATATAAATATATACAATAGTATATAGAGTATTTACGGTTTAAGAATGTATTTCTATCAGAACATAATACATAATAATATATATATATATATATATATATATATATATATATATATATATATTTACACATTTTTTTTAAAACCGAAAGAATAGAGTAGTAGATGTGTTATTGGCAAGTGCAATCGTTCGGCGAGTAGGCTGGTTATTGGCGGAGTTTAAAGTATAATAAAAAAAAATTATGTATATTGTGGCGGGCGGCAAATCACAGAAACGAAACTACTCCATAAAACATACAATCACGAATGTTTTGATCGTTATTTGTAAATAAAATCAATTTGTTTACCCGGTTGGTACTAGGCAACGCGTTCGCAAGATGTTGACTTTTGCTTACGTTGTTTTTTTTTTTTAATTTTTTTTTTTTGTATATTCTCAACATTGCGAATTTGAATTTGCGTCAATTATTCGATAATTGACTCTGGTGAAACGCTTAGAAATATTACTACAACACAGCGTTTACCTAAAATCCGACTGTACTACAATGATAACAGATAAACTATATTTTGTAAGTACACTGCTTGTCGGCTGGTTGTGTCGACAGTTGCGTAGGTACATATTCCAATATGTGGTTCCATCCGACGATAAACATAATGAAAATAAACCATTGACCTATTTTTAAACGGTATTATTTCGAGCGATCTTTGAAATCTTTGTGCGATTAATTCCAAACAAATATAAAATTTACTTATTAATAGCGTACGCCATCACTGCGTGGACTTTGGCAAAAACAATAAATTCGTATGGAGGGACCTCTCATTTATTAGCAAATCAAAATGCTCTCGTCAAATATGCTTTGAACCAACGTTATCAATTGATTCTTCTTGTACAGGTTTCCATTAAGTTTTTGATGAAGTAAGCCGTATATGTTACCTCAATATAAATCAAAATCGTTTAAAATAGGTGTCAATTTTATCAAATCCCTATTTTTTTACTGAATTAATCGGCGACAACTAGTAAACATAATTTTGACTTTTTCAGTGAGTATGCTGTCTTATAAGATATTCCTCAGATATCTTATCTGGAATCCTATACTGATGTAATTATTTTTTAAATAATATACCTTTATTCTTATTATAAAATTAAATCTAAAAAATTAGTATTTTAGGTTATTTACATTCAATTGTCAAGTTATATGTTTTACTCGCTAGATTTATTCCTGGAAGTGTCTTCATGCTTTGTTTAAGTATCAAGTCAGGTAGAGAGCAACCACAGGTTTTGTTTCTAAAGTTACTTTTTTAATCTCGCATGATACAATAATCTAGTTACTTCTTAATAATAGTATATTTAGTCAATCAAAAATTGGTGCTAACACGAGTATTTTGCACAATGTGTAAAAAATTGAACGGAATACAAGTCTATATTTATAAAAACGAATGTATGTTTGTTTGTCCTTTATGCATTACTACACCAGTTTTATACCAAGTTTTATAACTGGAGTTCTTACTTTACAACTACTTGTAAGTCCATAAAAACGACCTGCGTGACCATAATTTTATCTAAATATTATATTGGGATAATAGTCTCTTCTTCTTCTTCTAGGCTTTTACAGGACTTTAAGGCCCATCGCCGCAACAACATGTTGTCTCCATCCCTCCCTATCTTTTGCACATTATTCTACGTTCTTTACATTCAAAAGTTTTAAGTCTTTCTGTATTCTATCCACCCATCTTTGTCTAGGCCGTCCTCTAGGTCTCTTAAACCAATTATTCTTTCAGACCTCCAAACGTGCCCTGCCCAGCTTATCCTCGTACTTTTTAGGGTCCCAATAATGGTAGGTTCTTTATAAAGATTATCTAATTCTTCGTTGTTTCTTATTTCATACTCTCCATCGTTATTTCTTTTTGAACCAAAGATTTTCCTTAATATCTTTCTTTCAAACACTTTTTTTCATCTGATTTTGTCGTGGCCCATGTACTACATGCATATAGAGCAATTGGTTTTACTACGACTTTGTATAACGTAATTTTTGACTTTATGAATAGTAATCTTGATTTTAATAACGACATTAGACTATAGTAGCATCGATTTGCTGCCATAAGTCGTTTTTTCACTTCTTCAAGTAGCTATTACTTGAAGAAGCCTCTTAAGATTAAAAATTATAAAAAAAAAAAAAATGAGAAAAGTACTTAAATGTGCTTTTAATGTCACTATAATAACAACGCATCTTGAACACTAATAATATTAACACGATAATGATTTCGAGGAAAGACAAAATGGTAAAAAACATTTTATTTTGTTTTAACTATTTATGATATTTTTTTACTTACACAATGATACTAAATATATTATTTCTTAGTCTTGTAGCTTAAGTGCTCATTCATAAAATAAAAATGGAATTAACGATAGTATTATTTATAAAATATATTAATACATTTCCTAGTCACAGAAACATCAAAGTATATTGTATGCCAAGACAGTATATTATACTAAGTAATATGAAGGAGACAGGGCCTAATCCTCTTTTGGACTCTCCAATCTTAATAAATCTCTACTAGCAGCATACAATGTATAGATTTGGCTATTTAGAAAAAAAGGTTACGTCCAACTTTTTATTTTTTTATTATTGTTTTAATTAAGAAGAGAAACTAAATATATTTTGTTATATATATATATATATATATATACAAAGTGATTTTTTTATCATGGGTCACTCAATATTTCACTGGGTTTAATAAATAACTACATTTTTTTTAATAAGACACATCCATGTATTGATGTATCTGCATGAAGTGTGGATACTCTTAACTTTTTTTGCATTATAATAATACAATGCATTTTAAATTTATTCTAACATAACATAAATTAATTTATAAGAAGTTTATTAATAAAATGCATAACAATATCGAATTTAATTATATACATAATATAATATTTCACTTACGGACTATACTATGTAACGGTTGTAGACTATACTATGCTCGTTACAACTATAGCTAACAATAATGAGATTTAGGGAAAACCTGATTAGGTTATATTAAATAAATGTTCTATTAAAAGTATAATAAAACAATAATTTACCATATTTAGATAGATTGTTATAATTTAGATTAATATGTAATCTATGCGCTATACTTTCCGATTTTCACCGAAAACTTAAATACTCAATTTCAATTGTTTGGTTGAATAAAATGGTGATTATATTTAGACATAAAAAAATAAATACTTAAAAGAAAGTTTTTAAATATAATATACGCTCATGATAAAATTACTGTCTGCAAAATGTCTAATAATATTATTGTAAACGTTATGAGTATTTTTGAATACTAAGCGTTAAACTAGAACGTGTTAAATAGAGAACTCTATGAAAGTTCAGAGAAATATTTAAATAAATGTCATAGTAATTTTAAGCCATAAATTAAATAATTATTGTTCACGAATAAGTGTGCAAATATATAACTAAGCGTCTGGCAATGATCTCCACAATGCATGTATTTTAATTCCGCGTGACCTTATGGACCTAGAATCTATCTATACATTCGTGTGATGTCATCCACGAATACAACTGAGGTAATGCGTTCTATATTGGATTATGACTACAGTACAAAAAGCCAACAGATTTATTTTAATTACCCAATTCAATCGAACAACTCTTAAAATTCAGTATTTATTGACTTTTTGAATAGTATAAACCAACAGTTTAAATAAATATGTAACATAACATTTAGAATAATAACAATGATGTATATTGTAATATACAGCATTACATAGATGTATGCATATTAGGCGCAAATGGAAATCAGAATAATACTAAATTCTTAATGTTATGCTTATTATACAGGGTGATCAACTTAGCGTGAATCACTCAATATCTCACTGGGTTAAATTAATAATTTTTATTGGTTTTTTCTATGTTTTTATACAATGTGATCTCAATTTCTCACAATTTTTTTTTGTTTTACTCCCTCCCAACTTAGTGTTTTTGATAGCAACTATTGAAACTTAAATGGTAACGCATACATTTCATTAACTTTTTAAATTGAGAATAATGTACAATAGTGTAAAGAAAAAAATTAATTTCTTTTTAAATCCAGTGAGATATTGAGTGGTTCACAATTGTCTCCGATGCGTAGCTGAAAAGATAATGTTTTGACAGTGATGTGTTTTTTTTGTGTGTCTGTGCTCATGATATCTTCTTAGTCAATAAATCAATTTCTTCGTGTATTGGATCTAAAATAGAAAAGGTTCATCATTTCCCCTTCAAAATGGAGAAAAACGCAACTTTTTAACTTAAAAACGACGTTTTAAAACCTTTTTAAAAATAGTCCAATAAGTTTTAAATTTGTATAAAATGTTCTTAAGACATAGTACTACAGAAAAAAACGTTGACAACCCTAATAAATATCATAAACCTTTTCCCCTAGAAAGGGTAAAAACTTTTTCTTTATTTCGCTTTTTTAGGTGATGTTTTAGGGTTTCAGATCTGAAAATAATACCGAAAGTAGATCTAGAATGAGGCTACCACATGTAAAATACGCTCAAACATCTGTAGTCAAACTTTTTTTGTTAATAAGGAAAACCAGAAAAATATGGGGAAATTACACTTTTACCGTAGTCAGTTTTTAGGTTGCTGCATCAACAATCAACAGGTATCCGAAAAATATTTTAATCATTTTATCAACTACGGCAACAAATTGTTTAAGATATTAGTCAACTCTAATTGTTTCTACTCTAATACTAAAAATATCGGACAGCAACAGGAGGTGAGTGGACGAGAACGCTCGTCACTGACCTTCGGAAATGGGTTGGACGGAAGCACGGGATGATGGGCTACCGCCTAACCCAGTTGCTGTCTAGGCATGGGTGCTTCAACGAATTCATCCACAGGATCGGCAAAGCATCCAGTCCATCATGCTCACACTGTGAAGGCATGGTGGACAGTGCCTATCACACGCTAGTGGAGTGTTCGGCCTGGGAGTCCCAAAGGCGGGACCTCCAGGACGTCGTCGGCGAAGTTGTCCCGGAGACACTGGTCGCCAACATGATTGCAAGCCCTGATGCGTGGAACGCGGTCGCCCGCTTTGCCGAGTCGGTCCTCAAAGAGAAGGAGGAAGCAGAGAGGGCTAGACAGCGGCCGGCCAATTGAAAGCCCCGGCGTGCAAAGGCGGCGTGTGCGCGCGTCACCGGCCCGGAAACATTCCACCGGGGATTGGATTGTACATAAACCTGTATAGACTAATATAATTGAGTGTATAGTAGTTTCAAGGTAGCTGTAAGTAAACTTGTAACTAAATTTCGTTGTGGCCTAATGTGAATATTGTTATTAGGCCACCACCCGGAGTGGGTGTGTTAGTTTTTAAGTTCATGTTTGTATTTATTGTTTACTATACCCAATAAATGGCATCAGAGACTGGGGGGAAGTAATGCCTCACAGGGCGCGTCCTTCCCCGGTATTCTATGGGTGCACGTGGAAAAAAAAAATACTAAAAATACAATTTTAAGCACATTACAATGACAACGATTTTTAATATATCTACGGATAGGCATTGGAGCCTGTGAATTTAGAAGTAAGCATCTTTAAAGTAGCGTTTGAATGCAATTTATTTTATGCAGTTAGACTTTCTTAATTATCTTTGTACTACCTAAATGCGCTTACAAAGTTAGCGGCCTTAAATTCCAGAATACAATTTATTAAATTACATGATCTGTGTGATTATTGAGCACCATGTTAATAGACATACAGTGAATTCTTTTAAATGTACAATATTATTTATGTAATAACTATTGTGAATACACGCAGTACATGTGTTATTGTCAGATTGAAGAAATGTTGTGTTAGGGGCAACGAAGTACATATACCTAGAACAATTAATCTTAAGAAGCGCACTCGACTGATTTCAAGTAAACTATTGCAGCAAAAATTCCTGTGATTTAGTTCACATGTTTAGTGGTCATTTAAGACCAAATAGGTAAAGATATAATTGAACAAACATTTATTGCAAAAACGATGTTGTGGAAACGAAATAACCATAAAAATTAATTAAAGGCGGTAATGATAAATGCATTGTTATTTATATAAAATGAACCGTAGAACCAAAATTTAATAATAATATTACATGTAGTGTAACAGCTGAGCATACTACTGCACTACTGCGAAACTAACTATTACTATTAGTCTTCCCGAGTTACTACGCCTTCAGTGTACAGTTTTTAACATATTAAACTGGGGATTGCATGCGAATCTGTTTTTAAGGAGTTTTGTGTAGGCAATATTTAAGGAAAAAGTGGTTTTAATAAATTTCGATCATGTCAATTAATTAACCGGATCATTTTTATAAGCTTCAAGGTATTATTTTTAATTTAAATAATTTTTTCTATGAATAAAAACCATTTTGGTTTATTTTAGGCCAAAAAGCCAGACAAAATTTTAACTACATATAGAGTTTTTTTGGCTACTTTACTATGTTAAATAGGAAGCCGATTTTCGTTTAAAAATGTCAGTTACGCGTAATTAAATTAATTTAATTTTCAATTTTTTCAATATTAAAACCGAATTATCTTACATAAATGAAGTAAAAAATCAAAAAACTGTTTCCAACATAACCTAGTAAATCTGCCAAAGAACTCGTATATTTTTACAGAATTAAAATTGGATCATCTTAAGTAGTAAACTATTTTGTCTAAAAATGCCAACAATAGAATATGGTGTCGCTTATTTTTAAATTTCGCCTTATCATATAATTTACTTTCATGCCAAAAGAAAAACTTCATAAAAATGAAAAAAATCACTCTAGAAGACAATTATTTAATATGTGGTTACAGTTTTTCGCATTAGTACGCGTTGTTTAAATCATAATTTTGAGTACCAAAACACAAATAAAGCTTCTAAATAAAAATAGCTGACAAAATTGTATTATGTTCTAAGAACAAAAAAAAATGAGCTAAGAATTTGGCTTAGAGCCACTGTCCTGGAAACACTTACTTTGCTTAAACACTATAATATATATTTATATATATATATACATATATTTGCATCGTTATTAAAATATAAATAAATAACAAGTCGTAATAATATTGTACACCGCACAATATGTATCGATTGAATGCATAAGCTATTTTTATTGCTCACATAAAAACACATGTAATTGGGTATTAATTACAGCTATGTTTAAGAAACAATGATTTAAGATATCGTTACTTACATAAACGTGTTGTGCTATGAGATTATGAGTGGCGCCTTGAATATTAAAATATAGACTACATAATACACTTTGCAGCGTAACCGCTAAACGAACTGCTTAAGGCATTCTATCTAAGAATCTAACACATTAAGCTGGAGACAGGGTGATATTTTTAAAGTGACCTACTCAATATATTACAGGTTTAATCAGTTACTGAATGTTCGTTCTATAATGTGATCTTAATATTTTACAAACTTTTGTCGATAACCAGTTTTGGATAATTATTCTTAAAGTTATTTAAGTTTAAATTTTAGAATGGGTGATGGGTGGAAGGCTGGTGAGTAGTACTAGTTTTATCTGCACGCATTACTCACTCAACCGCACTTTCCTCACTTTCTACCTTTAAAACTTTAATAACTTTATGAATACTTAATCAAAACTGGTTATCAACCAATCAAAATTTTCAGGAAATTATTCTGTATTTAAAAAGTTAGTAAATTATACTTCGTTCCTATTTAAGTTTGAAAAGTTGATACAAACTACAAAGTAACTTATTTGAGAGGGGTTAAAACACATTATTTTGTGAAAAATAGAGTTCACGATGTGTAAAAGCGTTACGGAAAAATAAAATTGAAGAACGATACCCTACAAGGTATTGAGGTATTACTTAAAAAATCACCCTGTATTGGAGGATGGATATATATAAGGATGTATAATTAATTCAACAAAACCACTTAGTAAAAAATAGCTGTGCAAAGACCAAATTTGTAGTTTTTTTAACAAAAATTTAATTAATTATTTTTAATTTTTACCGATTCATTCCTAAAGGCATTAAATCCAGGGTAAAGGCAAACATTTTTTTAGTATTTTAACCTGCAGCGCCTACTTTAGTAGAAATGCATTATGTTCGTTACATCATTTTACATTTAAAAAAATACATTTAATTTAGGTGGCGCCCTTTAGTTAGAAATTGTTATCTATCAGATGTTATTAACGAATTTTTTTTTTAGATATATACCTTTTTTATTTGTATATTACAAAATTTTAAAAATTGGGCATTTAAGGGTTATTACTACGGCTTAGATTTTAGCATAGAATTTTTTTTTTATACTTTCGACCTAGTTTCGCAACAAAGCCAAGTAAATAAGATAAGTACAACAAATTCGATTAAAAACGACAACTCATAACCAAAACAGAAATTAGTTACAATACAAGAAAATTGTTTATATTCCGCCAGAGTTGTACCCTCGTTGTTATTTCTTTATTCGCCTGAAATCGGATCGCGGCTACTTAAACTGACATTTTGTAATTAAATATTTAACAGTTTTGATTACATTATTTTATTTTAGGACATGCCCTACCCTTATGTTATTTCGATCTACGTCTTTCGTACAACGATCACAAACATCAATATTAACAAAAACCCTTAACCAGCAAAACTTTTTTTTGGGATTTTTTAAAAATATCTCATTATTCTATTGCTCTACTATACGCCACAAGTGTTTCTTGGGTCTTTTCAAAATTCCATCACACGCTTAACAAAAATAAATATAAAGCAATCGTTACTATCAGGGAAACTTTGGACTTGCCACTTACTTGACGGGTCGGATGGTGGCACAATAAGGCAATTTTGTCATTAATTCACATGTCGACTGGTTGGGACGTTGCATGGTCTTCGTGCGAATCAATGGCGACAACAACAGTCGGCCGACCGTCTGCTGTTGCTGGCAGCGGCGTTCATGGTAATGGTAAAAAAGCCCGGAGGGTTAAAATTGGAAAATTAACATTAATAGCAATAATAATGATTATGTAACGATATGATGTCAATAAAAACCCACGTGGACAAGAATTGACAATCTCGAAGAAAAGACGTTTATGCGGTGGGAATGTTTTTGTTTTTTGTTGCGATTATTATCTTAAGCCTCGGTGTTTTTTATTGCACTCTTTAGCAGTGTTTTTACAATTTGCGGACGGATATATTATATACGATGTAGACGGCTCGGAATCGTATTAATGTGTATGTTAATTTTAGATTACCACCGTCACAGCCGTCTTAATGAACCGCTTTCAACGTTTAACACGTCGACCACAATATCTGAAAAAAATTAAACGAAAATCGTTGAACAAACAAAATTACGACGAGAACAAAAACGATAACGTTATTCATTGCTAGGGGCATGCCCTTAGATATTTACACTAATCACATTATTGCTTAAATGTGCAAATATATATATAAAAAAAAAATATGCACGTTTTGTTTCCCGCAACCGCTTGTGAAGGATTTAAATCATCCTTTGTTACGTAGTTACATATGTATATGGCTACAGATTCCATAATTCGCGAATAACTAAAATTAAATTAAATCGCTTACCCGGAAAACATTTCAAGGATGGTCTTAATTTCAAGAAGAAAAAATGATCAACGTATTAAATATATCAGCTCTCGAATAAAAATTCAGAAATGGCAGATTTTTGGTCATACTATTTAAAGTTAATAAATAAGGGACGAACCATTTAACGTAAGACATTCACTTTTCTCGGATAATAATTTAAATTTAATAATTTTTCTTTTAAAACTAAAATGTTATTTTATAATATTAAAAAATAATCATATAGCTACCTTTTTTTAGTATTTTTTAGATAACTATCAGCTTTTGATAGTATAGAAAACTCACGGTGCTAAGTTGCTTCGTATGCTGTTAAAATGTAGTATTTAATTATAGATTGTATGTTTCAGCACATAAATTTGTCTTGTACACAAATTTGTTGTGAACGAAGTTTTTCAACTTTAACATGTATCAAAACTAAAATAAGAAATCGTTTGTGAAAGTATCATTTGGATGTTAGGATGCAGATGTATTTTAACAAAGATATTTTAGAATCTGTCTCATTTGGTTATATTTAATGAAGGTGTTTAACATGGTACAGTGTTGAAAAATATATTAGTGGTGTAAAATATAAAACATCGCAGCAATTCAAGTTTTTTTTTTAATAACGAAACTAATCTAACCCTGACCTAACCTAACCTGATAAAAATGTATTTTTAAAATAAATAGGTTATTCACTATTATGTGTGTAAACATGATATATTTAAGATATAAAATCAAGTATATACAAGTAGTATCCAAATATACCTTAACCTATATATCAACATACCTAGAATTGTTTAATTAAGTACAAAGACAAGTTTCCCGGGCTGTGGTAAAAAGCTAGTCCAACTCTGTATGATATAATATAGAAATATATAATAATATATTATACTACTATACATTAAAAAGAAATGTATTTACCTACTGCCGCTTACTTTTGTTTTCAAGTAGGTTTGTTTTAAATGTTAAATTAAACCAAATGCATTTGTTTAATTTTACTTCCAACGGTCCTATGATGGGCATTTGACTCGAGATGTTATGCTTGTACCTTTCTTCTATGTATTCTCTGCAGGAGATGAGAATACGTTGAACAGTTAGTGAAACTCAGCATGTTGAATACAATGAGGTTTTTTAAGGGTAAAGTAACTATGCGCCAGACTTGTAAGTCCAATTTTCAAGTGGTTTAATATTTTAGAAGAGTTTTATTTTTAATGTATTTTGCTGGGGTCATGGGAATGATACATTGTAGTAGGTATTGTAAATCAAATTATTAAGACACTGTGAACAATATATTTATACATGTCAAAAAAAACGTAAACTGTTAAGTAGTCAAATTATTTTTATCATAACCCATCGTTAAGGGCGCCAATAGGAAGGGGCAAGGGAGAACTATTTTCTCACTAGCTTTTCTGCAAGTAAAACAAATAAACAGAAGAAGAACTGAGTTTACTCAGTTTTCTTGAAACCGTTCTTTAAACGATAGCAAAGTTAAAATATGATAATATAGTATAGTAATGTCTTAATTTTATGTTGTGGCCAAATGTTTTTTAGTAGTTATTTAATATTGGGCCTTAATCGGTTAATTGGTAACATTCACCTGGTCAGTTATTTTGGATAAATTTAACCATTCATTTAATTGTGCTCGTTATGAAAACATCAAAATTTAAATACAATTTAGCAATCAATACTCAAGTATCGAAGGAATCGAAAAAACGTACCAAGCGAAAGACTAATAATAAACTATAATAAACTTATTTTTCTAATAAAATAACAGTATAGTATACCAACTATCCAGTGTCGAACCAGCAACAGTGAGCGCTAACACACTGCAGCCTTATCCACTCGGCCACTCCTCCTCCTACTAAAACTGCGCTACGTGTTATGCAAACACACAATCCAATAAGTAAACTAAACTATTAAGTGGCATTTAACAAATGGAGAATTTTAAAATTTAATTTTCTCAAACGTGGATTAAATATTTAGCTAAATAATTTACGTGGCTACTGTAAACGAATCTCGAAATGCATAGGCCATAGACGATGCCAGCTAAGCAAATAGTATTCACTCGCCTGGCCTCTAAGCTGTATAAGAAATCTATGACGCGTTCTTTTAATCCTACAAAGACTAATCTATTTTTATCAAAAGTTTAACGTCGATGAAGTAATAGCAATTAATCGTTAAGCTTTAAAATACAATTTTAAATAAGAACTATAATTAATTAACTAAATAATAATAACAGGAAGTTTAAAAATGTGTGACAGTCGATTTACAAAATATGTACATTTCTATCTATTAAATAAATAAATAAATACAAATTTCAACACTTTAAGTTAAAAACTATAAACAATGTTCATTGAAGAACATTTTTGCATTGTTCAATGGATAATTAATATGTATAGGTAACTATTATATGATTGTTGTTACTTGCTTTGACTTAAATAGTATTACAATTGGTAATCTATCTTTCTTTCCAAATGTAATTATTTTCAATTTCACATTTCACTTCGATTTAATTCCTATTAAATTTAAGTCAATATTTATATTAATATATTTATAAAAACACATATAAATAAAATTTAAGAGTTTGTCCGTTGTTTTTCAAAACGACTCTAAACCTGTTTTGACTGAATTTTCACAGGTAAGAAGATTTGGAAAGAATGATCTAGGCTATATTTGTATACCAGAAATGTTCGTTTCTTGCTTAAAAATGGAAAAACTGATGAAATTATGGATATAATAGCTGCGAGGCATCGAGAATATTATCGCCGTTGCTATAGATGTATATTAAGAGGATTCGATACCGACCATTTTTAAGAAGTTTTGTATAGGCAATATTTAAGAAAAAAGTGGTTTTAATAAAAATTTCGATTATGTCAATTAATTTACCGGTTAATTTGTATAAGCTTCATGGTATTATTTTTAATTTAAATCATTTTATCTATGAGTAGCGATTTTAGTTAATATAATTGTAAAATTTTTGTCCATCGCACAGGCCGAACTAGTGATCCAATTAGTAATCTGAAAACAGATTTTAATTCTTTATGAAGTATACTTGGAATGCTACAAGATACTTTTTTGATACCTTTTTCTTACTATGAATAAAAAACGTTTAAACATTTTATAACATTTCAAATTTTAAAATCAAATTTGTAAAAGATTAGAATTCAAAATTGAAAAAAGTGCCTCGTAGGATCTCAAGTAAACTTCATGACAAATTCAAATCTGTTTTCAAATTACTTATCGGATTACTGGTTCGGCCTGTGCGATGGACAAAAAATGATGCTTGGATTCCAACAGTGAACCAACAGCGTTGTCCCAAAAGTGCTATACTTTACATTTAAAATGTAAAATACAATTTTTCATTTAACTGGAAAACGTCTATTACTCGCAGACCGCCCATAGTTTATATAGGGTATTCCATAAAGAACGCAAGTTTTAATTTATAAGGTCGATATCACTGGTTTAATAGCTTTTAACATGGGTATGTTATTGGGCTGGGGCAATCGGAAAATCTGTGCGTGCGAACTCTGAACGTTATCGAGTATATGTATAAGACTAGAGATAATGGATTAGAGATAAAAATAGCGATACTGGATTATCGATAAAATATTAGAAATTAAAAACAGAGATAATAGAATAGGAATGATAGATTAAAGATAAACAAATAAAGATAATATATTAGAGGTAAGATAAAGAAAGTTTGTCGTGTGGAGCGATCTAGCGGTCAAGCTTAAGATAACGTAAATTTATACATTTTTTGTGGCCAATCTTCCAAAATCCAAAAACATCTTACTTAAATTTTCAGTATACATATAATTGACCTCATAAAAAAATCATGGTGGTTATACGGACCGTAATGCTATAACATATCCATGATTCAATGTTTTTCCGGGGAGCGGATAAAATTACTAGGTTTTTTTTTTATCTACTTAAACTCAAGTATAAGTAGATAGATTAATAAGATAAAGATAGAGATAAGTAGTAAGATTAGTTTATCAATTATTATTGTTTTGTCAGTAAGTGCTGTTTGTGATCATTATGGAGCATTTTCCAATTATTGAGCAACTAAAGACGCATCACAAAAACGGCCCTGGCCTAAAATGTGAGCGCTAAAATGGATAGGGCCCAGCTGAATTTTCGAACGTTTTGATACGTTCCTACCTGTTGACTTGTTAGGTGCATCAAAACAGGTTCAGTTGACTACGTTAAATCAGCAGGGTCAAATCTATTCCAGGGTCATATTTGTATTACTTACAATATTATCCGATTATATTTTTCAAAGCTTTTCACAACCTTTATTAGTTCTTGTATTGTTGAAGAATAAATAAAGATACATGCTTAAAACTAAAAGAGACAAAATAAAGGCACATGAGAACATGGGATGACCAACTTAAAATACTTTGATTTTCATAAGTTAAAAAAAAAAATTAAATTATTTGGCACTTAGGATTTGCATTTGAACACCTTACTCATCCTTACTTTACCCCAGCTTAAACTTATAAAATACACTAATTTACTCTGAAAGTAATTTTTCAACAGGTCATCGACTAATTACCATTTTCAATAGAAAATTCTATAATTTAAAAGTAACTAATATATAGATGTTGACGTGTAAGTTTCAAAAGCTTTAAAAGCGCAAACAATTAAATAACCATATATGCATAACATCGTCATCACCAAAAATCTTTTAAAAAATATTTATGAAATTGCAATTATTTTTCGTAAAA